CCACTTGATATCCATTATCCTTTTGCTCTTCTTCCCGTTTTGACATTAAAATTTCTTCCACCTATAAAGTTTGAAAAACAGTAATGAATTCGGAAATCCAAACAGAGATATAATTTCAAATACAACTAAAGAGTAAATGAAGATATATACAAACCCATGCACAAGTATAAATATATGTATATTCATTTATAAATCCATGTGTGTCTACAAAATTTCTACAATAATTCATCCAACTTCAACAATCAAACACAATTTGTATCCTATTTCAGCAAGAAAAAAAATAAAGAACATTTGGGGCATGAAGATTCTCACGAAAAAAAAAAAAATCATTGGGTCACCTTGATCACATGGTTTAAAGCCATTTATGAGTTTTTCTAATCTGTACATTACATGGGTTCTTCCATCAACCTATAAAGTAAGAAAAGTAGTAATGAATTCGGAAATCCAAACAGAGATAAAATTTCAAATACAACTAAAGAGTAAAGGAAGATATATACAAACACGCACATGTATAAATATATGTATATTCATTTATAAATCCATGTGTTTCTACAAAATTTCTACAAGATTTCATCCAACTTCAACAATCAAACCCAATTAAATCCAAAGCTATGTACGTAAAATATTCTACACTAAAGTTTTTTTTTCTTTTCAAATCATAGTAAAACAGTATGACTTCTCTTCGGACACCTTAGTGTAGTAAAGGAGTATAACTTCTCTCCGTCATAGTAAAACAGTACAACTTCTCTTCGGACACCTTAGTGTAGTAAGTGATAAGGCTTCACTTTCACTACAAATGGACCCTCTTACAACCACTAGCAACCTGATGGGAAAAAAATAAAAATAAAAAGAACACCATTAAATTCATCACCATTGTGCAGCAACAGGTGTCTAGGAAGTATCATAAACCAAGTGAGGCATTCAATTTTAGCATACACTTAAAGCCATTCAATTACTGATTGGTGCCCCAATCATCTCTTATTGGCAAGTCATTTCCTGACAGTCTAGCATTCTAAATCATAGAACATTGTGGCCAACTCTAGGAAATTTTTCCAGTGAATGTGGGGCGTGGGAAACACACACGAGCCCGCACACACATGTATATCTTAGTCTGCCCAATTCAACACCACCACAATGATGTAAGAACATGTATTAATATATTGTCCCACAGTCTGGTAAAGTGAGCAAAAACCACTAATACACTGGACACAGGAATATGAGATGGATGAAAAAGTTAAGGATCCATGAATGAAGAGTGCCAAAATTAAATGTTAGAAGAGGGAATTTCAAAGCTAGCACACAACGTGCTTCTTTCAATCATGAACCACATGCCACGTGTCAGCTTCCGGCATCGCCACATGTCAGTCTCCCACATGCCACGTGTCAGCTTCCGGCGAAAAAACTTTCATTGCATCAGATCGGATTGGGACGATCGAACTCCCTGCAAATGCAATTCCTCCGTTACAAAGCTTGCTATTATATCCCATTTATAAAACGAATTAAAAATTATATTTATTGTATACATAATTTCGAACCTTCTCTCTCAAGAAGATAAGCGGTGAGTGGTGGCGGTCGTTTTTACCAACAATGAAACCCGCGATCGTCGTAGCTCGTGTCCGACGAATTAAAAATTATATATATTGTATATATATATTTTACAACCTTCTCTCTCAAGAAGACAAGCGGTGAGTGATGGCGACCAGTCTCAGAGAGAAACCCTCGTTCGCCGTCGGTCAAACAGACCAATGGTGACTCAGTCGTATTGGGTGTTACTGAGGCCCAGTCGTGTTTCAACATACAAATAAGAAGATATTTTGTATTAAAAAGAATAAAAACAAGGACAGAAGAGTAATTTCAGATGGACCTTTAATAAACATAAATTAAAAATTAGGACGGCAACTTCTACCTTTCAACTCACCGGTGGCAGTATGGTACCACTTATCAACTTCCAGCGTCGACACGTGGCAGGCTCCCACATGCCACATATCAGCTTCCGGCGTCACCACATGTCAGCTTCATACGTCGCCACGTGTCAACTTCATACGTCGCCACGTGTTGCCACGTGAAAGTCTCTCACATGCCATGTGTCAGCTTCCAGCGTCGCCAATTGGCTCAGCTTCCAGCGTCGCCACCGCGTGTTGCCAAGTGGAAGTCTCTCACATGCCAAGTTTCAACTTTCGACGTCGCTATGTATCAGCTTAAGGCGTTGCTAAGTGGCAGTCACCCACATGCGCCAAGTGGCAGTCTCTCACATGCCACGTGTCTGCTTCCAGCGTCGCCACGTGTCGGCTTCCGGCATCGCCACATGGCAATCTCCAACATGCCACGTGTCGGCTTCCGTCATCGCCACGTGGCAGTCTCCCACATGCCACGTGTCAACTTTCGTCGAAAAAATTTCTTTGCAACAAATCGGCTTGGGACTATTGAACTCCCTGCAAATGCAGTTCCTCCATTACAAAGCTTGCAATTATATCCCATTTATAAGACGAAAATTATATTTATTGTATATATAATTTCGAACCTTCTCTCAAGAAAATAGGCGGTGAGTGGTGGCAGTCGCTCATGTCCAACCATTTATAAGACGAATTAAAAATTATATATATTTTCCAACCTTCTCTCTCAAGAAGACAGGTGGTGAGTGATGGCGACCAGTCTCAAGAGAGAAACCCTCGTTCGCCGTCGATCGTGTCCAACCAATGGTGACTCAGTCGTATGCCCAGTGGTGTTTCAACATACAAATAAGAAGATATTTTGTACTAAAAAGAATAAAAACAAGGACAAAAGAGCAATTTCAGATGGGCCTTTAACAGACATAAATTAAAAACAAGGACGACAACTTCTATCTTTCAACTCACCCGTGTATGGTAACACTTCCTACCACTTGTCATCTTCCGGCGTCGCCACGTGCCAAGCTCCCACATGCCACATGTCAGCTTCCACTATCGCCACGTGTCAGCTTTCGACGTCACCATGTGTTGCCAAGTGAAAGTCTTTCACATGCCATGTGTCAGCTTCCGGCCTCGCCGCATGTCAGCTTCCGGCGTTGCCGCCGCATGTTGCCAAGTGGAAGTCTCTCACATGCCACGTGTCAGCTTCCAGCATCGCCAAGTGGTAGTATCCCACATGCTACGTGTTAGGTTCCGTCGTTGCCATGTGCCAGTCTCCCACATGGCACGTGTCAGCTTCCGACAAAAAAACTTTCATTGCATCAGATCAGCTTAGGACAATCGAACTCCCTGCAAATTCAATTCCTCCATTACAAAGTTTGCTATTATATCCCATTTATAAGACGAATTAAAAATTATATTTATTGTATATATAATTTCGAACCTTCTCTCTCAAGAAGATAGGCGGTGAGTGGTGGCGGTCGTTTTTACCGACGATGAAACCCTCGGTCGTCGTCGCTCGTGTCCGACCATTTATAAGACGAATTAAAAATTATACATATTGTATACATACTTTTTCCAAACTTCTCTCTCAAGAAGACAGGCGGTGAGTGATGGCGACCAATCTTCAGAGAGAAACCCTCATTCGCCATCGATTGTGTCTGACCAATGGTGACTAAATCGTATTGGGTGTTACTGAGGCCCAGTGGTGTTTCAACAAGAAGATATTTTGTACTAAAAAGAATAAAAACAAGAAACACAGAAGAGTAATTTCAGATGGGCCTTTAACAGACATAAATTAAAAACAAGGACGGCAACTTCTACCTTTCAACTCACCCGTGGCAGTATGGTAACACTTCCTGCTACTTGTCAGCTTCCAACGTCGCCGCACATAGCAACTTCCAATGTCGCCGCCACGTGTTGCCAAATGGAAATCTCTCACATGCCAAGTATCAGCTTCCAGTGTTGCTAAGTGGCAGTCACCCACATGCCACGTGTCAGCTTTCGGCATCGCCAAATGGCAGTCTAACACATACCACGTGTCAACTTCCGACGTCGCCACATGTCAGCTTCCGACATTGCCACTTGTCAGTCTCCCACATGCAACGTGTCAACTACTATCATCACCATGTGGCGGTCTCCCACATGCCACGTGTCAGCTTCCGGCGAAAAAACTTTCATTGCATTGGATCGGCTTGGGAAGATCGAACTCCCTACAAATGCAATTCCTCCGTTACAAGCTTGCTATTATATCCCATTTATAAGACGAATTAAAAATTATATTTATTGTATATATAATTTCGAAACTTCTCACTCAAAAAGATTGGCGGTGAGTGGTGGCAGTCATTTTTACCGACAATGAAACCATCGATTGTCATCGCTCGAGTCCGACAAATTATAAGACGAATTAAAAATTATATATATTGTATATATATTTTCCAACCTTCTCTCTCAAAAAGACAAGCGGTGAGTGATGGCGACCAGACTAAAGAGAGAAACCCTCGTTCGCCGTCAATCGTGTCCGACCAATGGTGACTCAGTCGTATTGGGCGTTACTGAGGCCCATTGGTGTTTCAACATACAAATAAGAAGATATTTTGTACTAAAAAGAATAAAAACCAAAAGGACAAAAGAGTAATTTCAAATGGGCCTTTAACAAACATAAATTAAAAACTGAGGAAGAGTTCTGATTTTTTTCCTGAAAAGGCTCAATTGCTGGAACATTGAAAGATTATGATTGAATCTGCTTGTAATTTAGCTGAATATACCATTTTAAACTGGACAACATTCAAATAAAAATAAACCCATGTACAACAATTGTATTTGATCGTGTTTTAATAAATCCATGTACAACATATAATTGTCTAATATCAACAATTAAACATATATATGAATATAGATAACTATGTCTAATAAAAAAGTAGACCACCAAAATCAGAAAATTCATGTCCTTCAAAACTCTTGTTTATGCTTGAGATCATGTCATGGCATTCCATGTCCAATGCCATGGTGGAATCTCACCGTAGTAGCACATCTAAGGCTCCATGATCACATTGTTGACGTCCATTATATCACCAAGTCCATTATTGCCATATTCTTCAATATCATTCATCATCATCGTCGAATTTGGCATTGAGAGATTGAGACCGAACGGTGGTAACGAGATGGCATGTCAAGATGATCACTCTGGTTGAAGAAAGAAATTGGTTGTTGCTCATGATTAATAATAGGCTCCATTAATGGCAAAAAATAATTAGAATTATTTTCTTGTGTAGCAAGAAAGCTACCCTTCAAGAATTGAACCCTAATTTTGGCGGCTTCAAGCTTCACTTCCAATTTGATACTAAACTCTCTCAATTGTTCCTCGGACGTATTGTTAAATTGATCATCCCAAGTAGTGTACTTGTTGTACTTGGTGGTCTCATCATCATCACTTTTCTTGTCCTCAACTTTTACAATTGTTAAAGAAGTAGTACCTTGATGATGATCAGTTTCATCATAAGTCTCCTCCTTCTTCTTATTGGGGTCTTCTTCAAAGAAGTGAGACAAATCAAGGGTCCACTTTTTATGATTTTCATCAGATTGTTTCTCGTACAATGTGAACATGCACCGGATTGCATCAGGATCTTTAGGCCAAATGTAGGGTTGCTGATCATCATCATGTGTGGGATCATAAACAACTATGCAAGCTTCAACACCACATAGAGTAGATAATTCAAAGGTCTTCTTTTCTAAACACATTCTTAGCTATTGGAAAGTAACATAGCTAGCCTTTTTATTGCTTATACGTTTTGGAAGATTCGACATCCCATCTTATGGGATTCTTAACACTGCTCCTCCTCTGCCTCTGATCTTTCTATCTCTCTTGCTAAATATTTCTCACACTTACTACTACATTGGCCTCCTCTAGCTATATATATTTATATAAACTTAATTTATTGCTAGTTAAGTTTGCTTGGTTTTGGAAATCCCTAACTCCTAAGTTAAAGAGGATAAATATAGAAAGTATAAGTGATATGCTAAAAGATTGTGTATTAGATATCAGTTTTCTAAAGCTACCATTTTAGTGCATTTATATTTGAAGTAAATTAGGACACTTCCCGGTGCTTGTTACTTAATTAGGTCCAATTAATTTATATTATTAAACTCTTATTGTTACTATTTTTTTTATAAAAAAAAAAAATTTAAAAATAAATCTGCTATTAAAATTTCAAACAAAACAATAAATTCATTTTTTTTTAGGGATAAGTAATATATTTTTAAAAATAGAGGATAAAACCATGTACAAAGCTAATTAGATAGTATACCTCCTAGTACAAAACAAGTAAGAGGCATATATCTCGCACCCAAAAATAAGATACCAAGAAAATTTAAGCTCAACACCAAAATCCCAAATCTGTTCACATTAATTTAAATTATATATTTTAATTATTATTTTAGTTTCAAGTTTAAGCTTTCGTATATACATTGTTGAGCCTATTTCTCAAACACCTTAAGCTTTTGAAACAAAATTATTAATTTAGGGTTTAGGGTTTAGTTCGGCGGCGAAGCGCTTCAAGTTCTGCTGATGGAATTGAATAGCGAGACTTTAGTAACGGGCCTTGTGAATTGCTCACTATTGGGTTTGGGTTTATCTTAAACTTTGTTTGGGCTTCTTGTTAGGCTTTGTTGGATCTACCTTTTTTTTCTTGTTGGGCTTAATCCCATTGTTTCGGGCCTATTTCTCAACACCTTAACCCTAATAACTAGACCGGATCATCTTTTAAGCCAGGTAAAGAAATGCATTCCTCTTATCAAGGGCGGATTCAGGATATCTCAATGGGGTGGGCTAAATCAAAATATATCTATGTATAAAGTTAAAATATAATATTAATTATTGTCTTTGTCTGTAACTTTGAGTACATCAGAGCTTTCCATTTCATTGTTGTACACTTCCAAGATCCAATGCATGAAACAAGCCAACTCAGAGCTTTCCATTGCATTGTTGTACACTTCCGAGATCCGATGCATTAAACAAACCAAAAGCTCACAACCCTATCGTTGGTTCACAGTTGTCATACACTTTTGTGCCCCCAATCTCTCTCCATATATCTCTCTCTACAAGTCTATATCTATAGAAGGCTCCCATGCCAATGTTAGTCAAGACTCACAGGTAACGGCTCAAAGAGCTTATTTTGTCCTAAGTTGAGTAATTCTTATTGGTGGACTCTCTCTTTCACTTCTGTGTCTTTGCTGTTTCAGTTTCAACATTTCCTCTGTGAATGCTCAAACAGATAAAGTTAAATTAAAATTGCATAGAGTCTTCTATTTCTTTTTCACAGATAAAATTAGGGTTTAGAGAGATAAAAAAGAAGAGAGCCCAAGTAGATCAATCATATTACACACCATTGTTTCAAAATTTCAGGAACTGAAAAATCGTGTGTGAACTGACCAAAGATTCTTGTAACTAAAAGAATTAGACACTATGCTCAATAGTATATCTTCAACTCTAAATGTCCTTCAATTCTAAGAATTAGACACTATGCTCAGTATGTCTTTCACTTTAAATTTTCTTCAATTCTAAGTGCTTTCAAACAACAGACTTAATTTAAGTGCATCAACATATAAAACAGAAGTAGTTAACATCCTCGTCAACACTTATCAACATCATCAATTGTCATCACTAAAGCATTAACATCCTCATCTAGAATCACATAATCCTGTTGCATAGATATACATTTGATTAAGAAGAATCATCATCTAGAATCACGTAATCCGGTTGCATAGATATACATTTGACTAAGATAAACTGAAAAGAGACTTCCTATCATAATTGGTCATTTTAAAACCAACATCACTGCCACAACGGCAAGGGGATTTATATAATTCAATTAGCTAGGCAAAAAAACATACCTATTTTCTTTTTCCCTACTCCACCCATTCCAATCAACTCTCTTCTTTCATAAAAGAGACCTATATTATTAGCTCTTCTTTCATAAAAGAGACCTATATTATTAGGACAAAAGAGAAAAAGTTTTAAAAGCGTTAATAAGCTTGTAAAACATATATTCTGAAATTGAAAAATGAACTTCCAAGTCTTTAATTCCCATTAATAAATTGTTCGAGCATCACATCATAAAAATATTATATATATGTATGTAGAAACAAAAACAAAAATTCAGTATGTAAAACATGAAAAAATAAACATAACCAATAGCTAAAAATGCCAATTAAAATTGTAGAAAAGGTAAGAGTTTGTTACCTGATGACTGAGAAGGCATGTTTCTTAAACCTTGTTCTTGCTAAATTTAAGGCCCGATGCTAACCCTAAAAATAAGAAAACACTCAAGTTGTGAGGAAGAAGTTTCACAATCTCACTCATAACAATTAAAACATCACCATCTAAGTACTATCTGTATCATGTTTCACAACCCAACCCAACCTAACTATGCTTTCAGTCAAAATGTTGGACACCTATCCATAGAAAGAGGTGTAATTATGGATAGGTGTGATTAGCACATATTATACTCAGCTCTTATGTTAAATTAATCCAATAACAAAGTACAATGCATCAGTTTAGGAATAATCTTCAAAATTAACAAATCAATATCATTATATTCTGCATTCTAATAACAAAAGAAAATCAAAAACCAAAATTTGAATATTAAAATATGGCAGAAAGATTGAAAATATCCTTCATGCATTACACAAATTGTATTTCTATGTGAAACAAAACATTATTAGTAGGACGGATCCAGGATTTCTCAATGGGGCGGGCTAAATCAAAATATATCAACCAAAATCAACTGTTGTTTAATTCAATTTTAGTTAACTAACAGTGTTTGTTTAGACAATTGACTGATTAAGGCACAGAAAATCCTATTTGGGTAATTAATAAAAAAAATTACCAATTTATTTCTGAACAATTCACCACTCAGTACCCTATCTCTTCTTTTGAACAATTTACTAATCCTATTTGAGAATCTACTAGTGGAAGCAGAATGTGAGGTAGTTCATGTCAAGCCCCTTCCACTATGGAATTCACTCAAAAGCATGCATTTTGTAAGTATTTTAATTTTCAAGAAGTAACTTTAGAACTTTACCCTATATTAAGTACTTTTGCTTGTCAAAGTTCTTGTTACGATTTTTTTTTTTTTTTTTTTTTGGGTTTTGAAAGGATTTCCATCTTCAGAGAGCTTGGCATGTTGATAAAAATTGTTTCAGATTCAATTTCTGCAGATTTCTAATCCAATTCAGATCGTATTTTTTTTCTTTTTTCATGCCCAGATTCAAATTTTCTTGTAGACATAATTGACGACCAAAAAAAAAAAAACAGAAATAGAAGTTAGAGAAAATTTTAAAATATATATATATATATATATATATATATATTGCTGAAATAAAATGTAAATTACGGTGATTACCTCAAAACGCAATGCAATGATTACCTCAAAATGCAATGCAAATTTTGTTACTTTATACTGTAAAAAAAAAATTAAAACAAAACCCATACATACAAGTTAGCAGTTGCAGAGAGAGAGGGGGGCAAGCTTGAGAGTTGAGAGACAGCGGGCCAGCGGCTGAAGCTTGCGAACGGCGAACAGTGGGTGATGGAAACTGAAAGATATGGGTTTTGATTTTTTGAAGAATCGGAAATGATATGCCGATATAGGTTTTGATATAGGTAATAGGTTTTGAACTTTTGATTCTTGCAGAAAGATAGATTAACTGAAATATATGGGTTTTGAACTTCTGATTCTTGTAGATTTTGTAGTTTGCAGTTGCAGAGAGAGAGAGAGAGAGAGAGAGAGAGAGATGTCAGTTCAGGGTTGAGAACGAGAATAGAGATGGAGGCGATTGGGGAGGGTGAAATGATTTGCCCTAAAAAAAAAATTTCTTTTTTCTGGAGGCCCATCATCCATGGGCCTATAAATTTTGAGGCCCTAGGCGACCTACTTTTTCGACTTGGGTCAGGGCGGGCCCTGACCTTATTTGGCTTGGGCCTTTATTTTAGTATGGTGGCCGAGTTGATTTGGGCTTGATTGGATGGGCTAATTTTGGGGTGGACTAATACTATATATATTTTTTTATTATTGGTTGGGCCTAGTAAATTTTTCTGTTTTTTTTATGGGCTCAAGCCCACAAGAGCCCTCTTGCCTCTTATCTTCTATTAAGCCAGGCAAATTTTTTTAAGGGAAAAAAACAAAAATAAACTAAAAGAACATTACAATTCAAATTTAGTAAATTAAGAACAGTAGGTACCGTTTGGAATTGAACGAAGAAATGCTAAAAAACATTCATTGCATCAGATCGGCTTGAGACAATCGAACTCCCTCCAAATGTAATTCCTATTACAAAGCTTGCTATTATATTCCATTTATAAGACGAATTAAAAATTATATTTATTGTGTATATAATTTCGAACCTTCTCAAGAAGATAAGCGATGAGTGGTGGCGGTCGTTTTCTCTCTCAAACATATACCGACGATGAAACCCTCCTCGGTTGTCGTCGCTCGTGTCTGACCATTTATAAGACGAATTAAAATTTATATTTATTGTATATATATTTTCCAACCTTCTCTCTCAAGTAGATAGGCGGTGAGTGATGGCGACCAGTCTCCAAAGAGAAACCTTTGTTCGCCGTCGATTGTGTCCAACCAATGGTGACTCAGTCATCTTGGGCCGGCCCAATGGTGTTTTAACATACAAATAAGAAGATATTTTGTACTAAAAAGAATAAAAACAAGGACAGGAGTAATTTCAGATGGGTCTTTAACTGACATAAATTTAAAACTGAGGAAGAGTTCTGATTTTTTTTTTTTAAAGGCTCTATTACTGGAATATTGAAAGATTATGATTGAATCTGCTTGTAATTTAGCTGAATATACTACTTTAAATTGGACAACATTCAAATAAAAATAAACCCATGTACAACAATTGTATTTGATCGTGTTTTAATAAATCCATCTACAACATTAATTGTCTAATATCAACAATTAAACATATATAAGAATATAGATAACAATGTCTAACAAAAAAGTAGACCACCAAAACCAGAAAATTCACGTCCTTCAAAACTCTAGTTTATGCTTGAGAGTCAAGGCATTCCATGTCCAATGACATGGTGGAATCACCGTAGTAGCACATCTGTATTATTTCATCAAGTCCAATGCCATATTCTTCAATACCATTCATTGAGAGATTGAGACGGAACGGTGGGTAATGAGCTGGCATGCCAAGATGATCACTCTGGTTGAAGAAAGAAATTGGTTGTTGCTCATTGATTAATAATAGGCTCCATTAATGGCATAAAATAATTAGAATTGTTTTCTTGTGTAGCAAGAAAGCTATCCTTCAAAAATTGAACCCTAGTTTTGCAGGCTTCAAGCTTTTCTTCTAATTTGGTACCAAAGTCTCTCAAATTTTCCTCGGATAGATTGTTAAATTGATCATCGCAAGTAAAATGCTTGTTGTACTTTGTGGTCTCATCATCATCACTTTTCTTGTCCTCAACTTTTACGATTGATATAGAAGTGGTACCTTGATGATGATGATTAGTTTCATTATTAGCCTCCTCCTTCTTCTTGTCAGGATCTTCTTCAAAGAAGTGAGACAAATCAAGGTTTCACTTTTTACAATTTTCATTGGGTTGTTTTTTTTGTACGATGTGAACATGTGCCGAATTGCATCAGGATCTTTAGGCCACATGTAGGGCTGCTGATCATCATCATGTGTGGGATCATAAACAACTATGCAAGCTTCAACATCAAATAGAGTAGATAATTCAAAAGTCTTCTTTTCCAAACACTTTTTTCTCTTCTGAAAAGTAACATGTTTATCCTTTTTGTTGCTTATACGTTTTGGTTTTGGAAGAATTCGACATCCCATCTTATGGGATTCTCTATCTCTATCTCTCTCGCTAAATATTTCTCACACTTACTACTACACTGGCCTCCTCAAGCTATATATATTTATATAAACTTAATTTCTTGCTAGTTAAGTTTGCTTGGTTTTGGAAATCCCTAACTCCTAAGTTGAATGGGATAAATATAGCAAATATAAGTGATATGCTAAAAGATTGTGCAGTAGATATCAGTTTTCTAAAGCTACCACTTTAGTGCATTGATATTTGAGTAAAGTAGCACACAGTCTTGTGCTTTGTTGCTTAATTAGTCCAATTAATTTATATTTGAAGTAAATTAGGACACACTCCTGTGCTTGTTACCATTTTAGTGCCATTGATAGTTCGAAGTAAATTAGGACACTCCACACCGTGCTTGTTACTTAGGTCCAATTTTTTTTACATTATTTATCTCTTATAGTTACTAATTTTTTTTTTATTTTTTTTAAATCTGCAATTAAAATTTCAAACAAAACAATAAATTCATTTTTTTTTAGGGATAAGTAATATACATTTAAAAATAGAGAATAAAACCATTACAAGGCTAATTAAATAGCATACCTCCCAATACAAAACATGCATATCTAGTACCCAAAAATAAGAAACTCAGAAAAATTAAGCTCAACACCAATTATTATTTTAGTTTTAAGTTTCTGTTTTGATATATATATATTGTTGAGCCTACTTCGCAAACACCCTAAGCTTTTGAAACAAAATTGTTAATTTTTTAGGGTTTAGCTCGGCGGCGAATTGAATAGCGAGCCTTTAGTAACGGGCCTTGCAAATTGCTCACTATTGGGTTTGGGTTCATCTTAAACTTTAGTTGGGCTTTTTGTTACTATTTATTGGATCTACCTTTTTTTCTTGTTGAGCTTAATCATTGTTTTGGACCTGTTTCTCAAAATAACAAAACCGGATCATCTTTTAAGCCATTTAAAGAAATGCATTACTCTTATCTTCTCTTAAGCCCAGAATAGTTATTAAATTTTCTTGTCACAATTAAATTCTTACTTTCAATTGTAACCAAATATTAAGCTCAGCGAAGAAGTAGGCGATGAACGATTTCTACAAGAGAGAAGAAGTAAGAAAGTGTTTTAATTAAAATAAAAAGGTAAAGTTGAATGATTTATTTTTTTTAGTAATAGAATACATTGTATAAAGTATTTAGGTAAAATATTATATAAAGTATAACAGTATAAAACATTATTCGTATATATATGATAAAATAAAGTATAGATTAATAAATTTTTTATTCAAGATGCTGACTTGGGGATGACAAAGCTATGTTATAAAGGTGATGTTAATCATCACTATTAGATGCTAACAACAGGAGAGAATTTCTATCACTATGATAATAGCATTTCTGTTGAAGAAATTTCAATGATTAACAAAATAACCACAAAAGGTCCTTTATACCCCTACAAACTACCCTAACAACATTTATACTCTATCATAGCATTTCTGTTGAAGAAATTTCAATAATTAACAAAATAACCACAAAAGGTCCTTTATACCCCTACAAACTACCCTAACAACATTTATACTCTTATCACTTCAAGAAATTATTCAATAGTCCTAAATCATAGTTGTTTTAGTGGCTCAATCTCAAAAACTCTTAAAAATAAATATTTGATTGGATTAAACCAAGTAACCAAGGACTATCTAATAATTTATCGTACATCTTCTTCTATAGATTCTCATGACGTGGGCTTGCATATATGATGAACACAAAAACATGTTTATTCTATACCAACATTATTGGGTCACTCTTGGTTTCCATTGATCCTTTTGATTCTGCACATTCTTTCTCGGCTTCATCACCTGTTAAACAAATGCCATCATCATCCATCTTCTGCTCTTTATTCTTTCCCCACAATACACTGTAAAGTCCTCCAACCAACAAAATTCCTCCTAAAACACTGAAAACAAGAGAACAAAAGCTTAAATGTTGCAAGGCTTTAATTTGGTGAATTAATTAAGATAATGTTTATTGTCGTAAATCACCTTCCCAAACTAATAATCTCCCCTAGGAGGAATGCTGAACTGAAGATTGTAAAAACCAGAGCCAACGGCGTCGACATGGCTAGGAACACTGGCCCCTTCTTCTCAATCACCCATGCTTGCAAATAGTATGTAACACCAGTCACCACAATTCCCTGTAATTATTTCAATAATATGTTAAAATGTGAATTTTTACAAAGTAAAAAAAAAATTAAAAAGAATTGTGTGTTTCTTTCTTACACAATAAGCTACAGATAGGAGTTTGACATTCCATCCCAGCTGCCATTCATGAGGGTCTCTTACCAAAGCAATGGCAATCACAAATGATTGAATTGAGCTCAAAAAACACTGAAGTGTTGTTAAGAGAAGCTTCGACGGGTAGCTTTTCATAACTCCACCCTGTTTTCAAACAACAAAAAACAAGAAATTTAGTCAGTGGTGCATTGCATGATGGAAGTTGGATAAATTTACTTGTTTGTGCATGCTGCAGGTTTCAACATTCCATGGAGATGCAATTATGTATGATTAAATTGTTTTTTTCTAAGAAATTGAGAATACAAATTTATATAAAGTTGAAGTTTTTTGCATTCAGTCAAGATATTATTTAGATCATGAATTTGCTTTGATTTCTTTTTTTAATTACTCATTAATCTAGATGGAGGAGACATGCAGTACAATATGGTTTCTTTTTGTCTACCCTTTTCACAAAATGTTTTGGAATCTAGGCTTTTAATTAGCTTTCTTTACTGATGGCCTCTATTGCCCTTTGTCCCTCCATAGTTGGATCCCTAATACCCACTGTCTGGTTAGTTTTTTGTAATTCTTTGTTCATTCTTTTTCTTTTTCTTTTTCTTTCCCTTTTTAGGGAAAAAATCACCAACAAGTTCTACTTTCTTTTCTCATTGAAACACATGTAATTCGTAAATTTTTTTCCTTTAGGACCATTAAGCCCTACTTTTGAGAATTTTTTTTTAAAATTTTATTTAAGCTAGTCTTGAATCTTTAATTTATACCCTTACTAAAAAAAAAGTTTAGAAAATTTCAAATTCTGATATTTCTAAATAAAAAAGAGGAGGAGAAAAAGAACGTAAGAACTCGAAAAACAAACATATTTATTTATATACCTGCAATACAAGCCAGAAACACCAGAAGAAGTTGGAAAGGAACATGAGAAAGCAACCAGTTTTCCATGTTTTGGTGGGGAGAACATGAAGTTGAGGTTGTTGGGTGTGAGTGTGTCCCAAGAGGTGGTGATGTAGCAACAGTTTCAAAGTGGGGCCCCTATAGAAGGCAATGGCTGCTGCTCCTGCCATGCAGATTGTTATGCCTGCAATCTTTGCGATGCCAGGGGTTGTCTTCAACTTCAAAGTTTCCATTCTGTAGCTCAACAACGTTAATTAATTAATTGTTCAAAATTCTATGTTCTAATCAAAATTCAAAACCAATATTTAAACATACTCACAACATTAAAACATAAATCAGAAAAAGAAAATAAAATAATTATTAGTTGTTTAAAATAAACAAATAAAAGTGTAATTCACCTGCTTTATCTTTTTCAAGTACTAGCTACGTGCTCAACTTTTGTTGCTCTCATCCCAGAAAAAACTTGTGATGCGCTTAAATTTACATCAAGTCTCCACGTAATTGATACATATATGATATATCTCTTAAAAATATATACTATATGTGAAGTTCAGTTTAATTACATGTGAGCCACATGGTGTTTTGTGATGGAAAATATCGTTTTCTACATTGAATGCAAATGATAATGATTTGATTAAGGAGCATCACAAAAATGAGGCTTGACTTTATGTAACAATATCACGTGCAGGACATGATTTTAGGTGGTAATTAACTAATTAAGGCCATTTAACTTGAGTTTCAAAAATCAGTTGGACTGTTCGGACATCGTATCTACTACAAAGAGGTTAAGGGTTCTTGTGTGATTTAATATATTTATCTATAAGAAAATAATAATAATAATTTACCGGAAAAAGAAAAAGAAAAAAAAAAAAACAAAACAAAACAAAACAAAAACAAAAACAAAAACAAATAGAAGAAGATCGAAAAAAGAACATGTATAGCTCAAATTGCCTTTGGCATCTAGAAATCATATCCTTGATGCATCTAAATGAAACATTAATTAAAGAAGGAGAAATTAAGAAGAATAATATATGACTATAGATACATATATAGATATATATACGTACCTGAATAGAACTGCAAGGAAGAAAGTTATAACCGGAAGGCAGTTTGTAGTTGCAGCAGCCAAACTTGCAGATGTATATGTAAGAGCCACACCATAGAAATTCAAGCTCAAAGTAATCCTAAAACCAAAAGACCAGAGTTTAGAAAGAAGAAGAAGAAGAAAAATGCATACACCACACGTAGATGAAGAAGTTGCAACAGCTGTAAAAGGAGCATATATTTCTTTGAGAGCAGAAACAAAAGAACAAACAAAAAAAAAATAATAATTTAATGAAATTTAACAACATACCCAAACAGAGAGAGCATAAAGATCTTGCAGAGGGTCACCAATGGTAACGGTGGCGCGTTTTTCCTTAGGAAACAATTCAAGGAGGTTAATAAAAAGTACTGTATATATGTACCATTCAAAAGAAGAAGAAAGAATTGAATTGATGATAATATATATATATATATATATATATATATGTATGTACCTTTCAAAAAAATATGCAAGAGGGGCTAAGAAAACTGTGGCAGCAGCTTGTCTATAGAAGACGAACACGAAAGTGTTCATGCCGACATTGAACGCAGCCTTGGAGAGCAAAAACATTACAGTATATATGGCCTGAACCAGAAGGACAGCCAAATATGGTTTCTTTTCATCCATTGTCATTTCTAAATGATGCAATGATGAGCTTGATTTAATTTTCTTCAACTACATGCAACTTAGTGGACTACAATATGTCAATCCTTCTATATATACAAGTTTACGAAATAGGATATTCCTATGACTCGAAAGTCTAATTAGTACGAAAGAGGCAATTTGACAATTAAGTACACCGAAAAGACGAAGATCACCACACAAGAGTATGGTTCCCTTTATCTATGGAGACCACACTCTTTATAAAGTGATCACTACGTTTTCGTGTGCACTGTTCAAATATAGATTGAATTTTTTTTCTTGATAAGTACTTTGATTCCTTCCTTTCTTCTTTCCTTTTTTTTTTATTTTTTATTAATGAGGATATTTATGGGTGAGTCAGGTGACCCGTGAGTGAGAGTATTAATTGAGTGAAAACTACGTGCATCTTTGTAAATTTGACGTATGTGGTGATAATAATTAGTTTGCTTTTACCTGGATTGCGATGTACCACCAAAAGCAGTTGTGGTGTGTCCATTCGCTACGCCATTCAGTAATTTAATAATGGGTAGCTTGATGGCAACATTGGATGCCTCCTTTTAATTTACTTATTATTATATGAATAATGATAGAGTAACTAAATATTAATCCCTAAATTTTTATCGGATGTGATGTGGATTGACCATTTTTCAATTTTTTAACCATTCTAATTATACATCTCACATGATAAAACTAAATGAGAAATAAATTACTTGAAAATAGAAGTATAAGGAAGGTGTTTTTTGTTTTTACCACAACTATCTATCTATCTATATATATATATACACACACACACACACACAAAACTAGATTTATGAAAGTTTTCCATCTCTATGTAAATGGGACAATGTTGAAACTCTAATTTGATTCACCTTCTCTCCGTTTAAGTTTTTTATTTTAATTTGTGCAACCTTAATTTTGAATTATCCTTTTACAATTTGACTCCTAAAATCTCATTGTGATTGAATAATTTTTTCACAGAGAGATATGGATAAATTTTTAGAGAGATAAAAAGTAATTTCAGAGAGATAGAGGAGGAAATTTAGACCCAATCTTAGGCGCGAAGAGAAAGTGAAGAGAAATCAGAGAGATATGTTAATTTTTAAAGAGTGAAAAAGATAAGAGAATTTCATATAGAGATGGAGAAGAGAGAGTTTCAGACCCAAATATTAAAGAGAGAAAGTGAAGGGAATTTGGTAGAGACAGCGATTGGTAAACCTTTGGAAAGAAAAAGTTAATGAGAATTTTAGAGAGAGGATTACCGATGAGAGAGAGATATTAGTGAATCTTAGGGAGAGAAAACGTGGAGTGTATAAAATGAAAATACGATTTAATATTGAGGGTATACATATCTTTATATTTGTTGTACAATTATTTTTACTTGTATCGGAAAGTGCCTAAGTAATTGATATGGCAAAAACATATGATTCGATATTTATTCGAAGTTTAGTCTTCGATTTCTTTACCACTATTTTTGTTACATACCACAGATCACATGGCCCACTTTTTTATTTTTATTTTTTCACAGTAGGTTCATTAACCGAATAAAAATGGAATAGACATGCATGATAAAAGCACAAATATATCCATAAGCCGACAAATTTTTTTTTTTTTTTTTCTTTTTTCCATCAATGGTAAAATTGTATGATTTTTAAATATTTAAAAAAAAAACATAGGTAGATTTTTACAAGGATTTTATCACCAAATATTTTCACGAGAATCGACGGTACAAAATATTATTATTTTACTGTCTACAGTATTATAATTTTTTAAGATTCTAGGGCTGCTTTCTAGCTAGGGCATGGGTTTTTTCCACTAGCAGAATTTTTTACGTTAAGGGAATTGCTTTAACTAATAGTTTATGTATTTTTTTTTAGCGATATCTAATTTTAATAAAGTAAAGATTAATATTCTTTGATTCCCCATTTTTCTCTACTTGCCTCCTCTTTACTCGTAACTGAACAAATAATGGATTGCTTTAACCATGCAGTTGATTTCTTAATTATAAATAATTCAATCATGCTTCATATAACAAGGAACTTTAAGTTATTCCAAGATTATTTAACACTTTTATGAGAACCGTACATTTGGGAGGCTTCAAGAAGAATAAAGGATTTTGTGTTTGGTTGACAATGTTTCTCGCGCTAAATTTAAATGCGCCTAAACATAATTATTCCAAGTATTTACTTTTCGTAGTGTGTATCTATCTATATATATATATATATATATATATATATATATATATATGCCCTATATACTTTATTGGGCTAGCTCTATCTTGTTTTCTAGTTAGCGTCTAGCCCTCCTTTTCTAGTGCCTTCAATTCTAACTTTCCTAAACAATTCCACTCTTTTTTTTAACATACAAATGAAGGAGAGAAAAAAATCTTAGGCGAATCTCAAAAGCTAGGTCAATCCCAACTCAACTTTGATCAGCAGTCAAAGAATCCCAGATGGTGGCCAATCTTTGTACATAGAAAATTTGACCACCGAAGTTTTTGCTTTCTAAAACTCTAAGGAGTTGGCCAGTTTAAAAAGATTTAAGGTTTACTATCATACAAATATCAGATTTTAAAATTGATTCCTTCTAAATATAAATTAATAATTTCTTAAAATTCACGCCTATTAACATAGTCTGACCTTTACCCAATGTGAGAAATACCTTACACTGATTCCGTAAATTATAATACTTACAAGGTTAACTATTTTGCATAACCGTTGTCATTATTTTGTTTTATCAGTAAAGGTTGTAGATTACACTAAAAATTCATTCTTCCAAAAACAAATTATAAATGGGGCAATGTTATACGAGTAAAAATTTAGATTTATATATATATTTAAAGACATTATAAGTTAGAGGTGCCAAAACTCGAACTCGAAGACAGAATCCAATGAAGATCGCGGAGCAACCAAACCACTGAACGACCTATGTGAGCTTCCGGAAAGAAAAATATATATATATTAATAAATTCTATATCATTGAGATATATGCAATCATAACTTCTATATCATTGAACCTTTTTAAAAAATATTAATAAATTATATATCATTCCTTTACAAATTTTCAAAGAAAAGAAACAGCAAATGCCAGTCCTCTCAATGAATCTGAATCTGAATCTGAGCAGTTGGATCTAACAGGATCCAAAATGCCTAGTATTTTCACTAGGACGGCTACGACGATTCCCAAATTAATCTTATTTGAAAATCAAACTAATTAATTTAATTTAATTGTACAGGTAATTTTAAATTTCAATGGTCAAAGATCATCAGCTCTTTAATTATTTTTTTTTTTTCGGAAGGTAGCTCTTTAATTATTCCTTCATAGTTAAAAAGATGTTTCTGTATGTTCTCATAATTTCCTTTTGGTGTTTCTATCTGATTTTGACCATGCCTGTCAAACCTAAGCCGACATTTTATACCACATATATATATATATATATAATTCGCTACACATGCACACAATGGTTCTATTGCGGTGCAGCTGCAAAGGCTAGCACCAGTCAAAAAGAAGGAATCCATTGATCGATCAACAACAACCAATTATTATAAATAAGCAAACAAAAAACTTCGCAATGTCATTTCAATTAGCTGTCATTATTATGTTTGTTGTCATAACAAGGCATGCTATAAACATGCAGAGTCAAATATGTAACACTACTAAACAAAAAAAAAAAAAAAAAAAAAAAAATTATATAGAATAAACATGTGATATGTGACTAATCATATGATCGGAGTGATGACATGGAACTATTTTACTATACGAATAAGAAATCTTAGAAAAGAGACGTATAAGTTCTTTCAAACCCTAACCTCATATACACTTACCTATTTATCTCTGTATTTTTAATTTTGTAAAATTTAATATCAATAGTACAAACTCTTACACCTTTATATACAACCCTTATATTTAACGGGTTACAATAAATACTAAAATCTAAATCTAAACCACCCATGACCCGTGGCTTTGGAGAGATCGAAGTCACACAAGGGCCATGATTTTAGTCACACAAGGGCCATAATTAATCTTAAGGAATTGGTCTAATTAGAAAAGACTTGAATCTTAGTGTCGCATAAAGTATCAAGTTTCAAGATCAAATTTTTATCGGTGCAACAATTCCTTAGAAATCAAGCCCGCTAACATAGTCTGAGATTTATCCGATTTGTCTATTAATCTATTTTATGAGTCCGTACTTAAAAAGTATTGTATTTTGAGTGACAAATTAATTAAGCAGGCTCTTAACTTATATAAATGCACATTTTCTTTGACTTTGGGGTTATGTTTCAGTCATTTCAATTAAACCTATGCTATGCCCCCACGAGTTACACAACAAAAATGAGTTGTCTCGGGTATTGTGCGATTTCAGCTACATCCAAGCCACATGCTCATTAACCTTCATTTAATAATTAAAACAAAAAATCTTCACACAGAGAAAGTAAGAAACACTAACTTTTATATATTCCACACGTAGAGATACAGGAAACATCTAGCATGTTGCGTATATCTTGTAAAGAAGGTCATGCTTTTAAATTTTCATAAATATACAGAGTAGATTCATTTGGATACTCTTTGTCATGAAGTCCTAGTGTCCCAAGGCATTGATAGATATGTAACAGCTTTTAAGAGTTTGTTTGAAAGCAACAAAAGTAAAGTTATAGTTTGAAAAATAGAAAGAATGATTTGAGTCCCCATTTCCAAGAAACGACGACCATACTTCATTGGATTCACCAAACTACTGTAATTAACTCCATCCATGCATGCATGTGAATATAACGTGAAAATAACCCGCACACCATTTAAGGTGTCTATAATGGTCCCAATCGCAACATGCATTAAAGTGGTTCAAATCCTCTCTCTCTCTCTCTATATATATATAAGTGGTATGATACAGTATAGCACTGGTGTCGTATTGTAGAGGTAAATTATGTGTGTCATATGGTGTGGACAGTGGTGAGAATAGAGAATTTGGAAAAGAGAAGAAAAAATACTTGGGTGTTATCAGTGGGTCTCGTGAAGTATCAAGTTTTGGTTTAAGTACTAAAGGATTTTTGGCCCAATGATATAATATCCTCATCTTTAAAGAGGAGGAAAGGGGTTCGACTCCTGACGTGGACAAAAATGTGTGTGTGTTTATTTTACCATCAAAAAAAAAAAAAGGTTTTGGTTCAAGCTTTGTTTGAGTAAATAATTTTGGTAAAAAGAAAAGTGTGAATATCAACTAAGAAAAAAAAATTTAAGAAAAAGTTAAGAGACTAAATATTTTTTATTGACAATTTCGAAAGAAAATAAGGGAGGGAGGAGTTTATAATTATAAAATAATATACATAAAAAATAAAAAATAAAATAATATATATATAAAATAAAATAATCATCAGCTTGGCCCATTTCCCCAACTGGACTTCTGGGTGGATCAGCCAGCGGGAATTAATGTATATTTTTGTTAAACAATTCTATTTCTCTATTAGATGATAATTTAAACCTATCACTTATATATCTATATATATATATATATTAAATTAATCCAACATTTGGTTCTTTAATTACATAATTGGCCATGGAAAAGATTTTTCCTAAAAGGCCCTTCTTTAATGGCTTCATGAAAGAGGGTATCTAAATTTCAAAATTCATGTCATGAGAGGTTTTTGAAGGATAATTGTGCTTAATCATTTTAAAGAATGTGTGTACCTCGTTTTAAAGTTTCCCGATTGATTCAATGAATATTTTTTGTTTGTCAGGAAAAAAGAAAAAAAGTAGATCTCCACCAATAGAATCAATCAATCACTTACCCAAAACAAGAAAATAGAATCAATCAATCCACTCAATCCTGAGCCATTAGTGAAAGAATTTGTAATGTTTGTGCTTGCAAAAACGTTTAATTTATTTGTGTTTATAGAAATTACATTGATTTGATTTGAAAATATAGCTCATCCTTTTGATTTTTGCAAGATAAACTCATAATTTCTACTTAATGTATTCAAACATGGTGCTTACAAAAACGTTTTATTTGTGCTTAATGAAAATTAGATTTGATTTGACTTAAAAATAATAATAGCACACCTTTGTGATTTTGTAAGATAAACTCAAATTTTCTATCAATTTATGCAGCATCCACATGGGATAACAAACATGTGGTTGGTCCAGGTGTAGTTCACCACCTGTTGTACGTGTGATGGACCATAAAGTTTCCCAGACCTCATATTCTTCTTTTCAGGACTCAAAAGTTAAATGTTTCATATCTGTAATATGGAACCAAACAAAAAACATAAAAGAGTCTAGTATATACAATTTACAAAAAATAATAATAATAAGACATTTTGCACAAGAAATAGCAATTGGATATCTATGTCTATATATATATATATATATATATATGTCTCTCTCTCTCTCTCTCTATATATATATATATGCATGTTCAAAAGTCATTAGTATAGTTTTTTTGTTAATTTTGTTCATCGTTCTTCTCTTTTTTTTTGGGTAAATGAATGTTGCTCAGCATTCACTTTTCAAATCTAATAAATTTAGTTCGGGTTCAAATTGGTGCTCACAAACGATATTGTGTCTGAATTTATTATTTATGTATAGTCAAAATTGGAATTTTTATTAAACTTTTTGACTCTAGTTTTCTTTACTCGATAATTTTGATTTAAATTCGCCGCGACGATTTAATTTCTCTGACAACTCATGCGCGCCTCTCAATCTGGAAGTTCAAGCATGGAACATGTGACAAAAATGGTGGTCCATTCATTCAATGAGCAAAAGACTAATATTTTAAGTTCCTTTGAGGTCTTGAAAACGTTCAACAATTAAAGCACATGCTTAGAGCAACCCCAGCCAACGTAATAGTGTACAACATGTGTATTGCGAATTCTACTAAAGCAATTGGAAATGTGTGCTGCCAACATTGTTGGGTTTCGAATGTATTGTGGGAGAGATATTGGCTCATTCAGCGGAAGTGTCCATCGCAAAATGTGTCTGCGCTTATTTTCAATGATAATATGATGCACGTTCTCATTATCTTGTTCAGATCTTCTTTATCCCAATAATACACGGGTTCTTGCGTTTTAACCCACCTGATCTGCAACACGTCAAACGCTCATTCAACATCTTTCCTAACGGCATCTTGTTTTTTAGCAAACAATTTCTCTTTGCCAGTTGTTGGGTGTGAGATGGTCTGAATCAAAGTTACCCACTTAGGATATTACCATCAAATAGGTAATACCCCATTATACGTTGATGCCCATTTACCTTGTAATTAATCAGAGCAGTCAGGTTTGTCGAATCAATTCACAATAATTAAGTGAGTAGTCAGCAAATTTAATGGATACCACCAACAGATCCAAAACCAATGTCCAAAACCAACGTTGAAGATGTCATAAGTTTCTTTATAATAAATTTCTTACTATCTAAATTTCCTTAAAAATAAATATTTATTTTAATTAACAATCTATCTAAATATAGTTTTTGTTTAATTTTTATAGCACATGGCAACAAAAACATTATATGAACATGAAGAAGGGGAGCCATTTAAGTTGGAGCACTGTTGGAATCTTCTCCGAAAATCTTCAAAATGGCTCCAAAATTGCGATATAATGAAGAAAAAACAAACACCAAACACAAATAAGAGAGCTATGGATCTTGATATGAATTAGCCTGGAGATTGTTACGAAACAGTTCCATCAACACCAGGTTCAATCCCAACTAATTCATCTACTCAGTCAACTCCTGTAGTATCAGTACCAGGTTCGGTAAACCTTGGCAACAACGACTCACCAGCCATTGACGAAGGTTCACGTGACATTTCACGACTTATTGGGCAAAAAGCTGCCAAGAAAGGTCGTAAAAGTAAAGATAAGGTACAAAATGACTTATTTCTTACATCGTTTTAAGGATTTGCCGAGCAAAATAAGTTGATGGACAACTTAGTACTCGAATCTCGTACTTTAAAAGGAAATCGAAATTCGATTTGGGCATGAAGCAAGAATGGACACGGTGATTGGAGCTTGAGTTGCAAAAAGAAATGAAATTAAAGGAGCTTAGGGCGCAAAAAGAAATGAAGATGATGGAGATTGAGTGGGAGCAAGTTCTTTAGGAAGGACAAATGATGGAAAAAAAAAATCCAAATGATGCTGCAACACCGGCGATGAAAGTATGGATTGAGGATTGACAAAATGAAATTATGGCACGTTATGCAAAAAGGGGCAAGTAGTTGTAATATTTACTATATATTTTTTCATGGGTGGAAGTATTAATGTATTTTTTTTCCCTAAGTTATATTGTTTTATTTTACTTGTAGGAAGCTATGTAATGCACCTTTATATATATATATATATATATATATATATATATATATATATATATGTAATATTATTTTTTTTAAAAAAAGAAATCTTGTATCTAAATATTGAGCAAACAATTACAGCTGTTAGTATTATAGTTGTTGAGAATAAAACCATTGGGAAAAAAATATATAATAAAAAATTTTATTTTATTTTTTAAAAAATAATAATATAATAAAGTGTAGTATGAAAAAATGAATGCATAATAAGAACTTGGAATCTCTAAAATAAGTGTAGAATCAATTTCTAATATGATTGTACACTTTACATAAAAAGTGTATAATGGAAAGGGTGCCTTGCATTGGAGTTGCTCTTAAGTTTGAGAAAACGTGCCAAGCACAGGCCTAACTCATGGGTGGGCCTGCTGTCTGTACTGTATACATGGCTAATAATTGGGCCTCCAATCAAGCTAATTATTGAATTGACTTCACTTCACTAGGTTCAATTTGGGCTGACTCCAAATTGGACACATTTTCCAAAATTGAGCTAATTTTTGGATTGGCCGTAAAATAAATTTCCCAACAAAGACGGAGTATAAGTAGTACGATATATTATTTGTATTCATTTGACGTTTTTACTAATATGGTTATTAGTAAATAGTTATTTATAGTACTTATTGGTAGGTCCTGTACTATTCACGTTCATTTGTCATGTTTTTGAAGCGCGCTAATAAAGCCACAGTTAAATCATTTTTTTTATAAGTAATTTATATATAGACATAGATATTAGTTATAGTATTTGTATATATATGAATATAGGTGCACAATTTCACATTTTTAAATTGTGATGAACATAAATCTACCAGAACTCTGGTATCAGGATGGGAGGATCGTTACATATAAAAGATTTTTTCTTTTCATTTTTTAAATAATAATAATAAAAAAAAAGAGCTACAACCATATCCCATAAAATGTTACACAATTGTGTTTATTTTATTTTTACCTGTCAGGTACATTCCTAGAGTAGTTTGTCATTGATAAAATGAGCAGACTTTGATGTGAACTTACACTCTTTGTACCAAATTTTTACTATTGCATCAAACAATGGCTCATGGTGCTTAAATTTCATTTAAAATAAAATTATTTATAATCAACTCCGAAAAAAAAAATAATCATAATAATAATAATAATAATCACTGCGACAAGACGCAACCATCAAATCCAAAGCCTGGCTGCTCTTAACCGATCAAATAATCAATCACAAAGCTCCGGAGGGAAGCAAGCCCTCCCCCATAAAAAAAAAAACCGTTTATGATTTATTTTGAAGTTGAATATCTGTAACTTCAAGTCTAATAAGTTGCATTTAAATTGGATCTAGATCCACGCTTAATTATCTTCAATCGAAAAACAGTGAAACAAAAAACTTTAACCCAATTTATTTCTTCAGAAAATCCTTTCACAATGGCTAAAGCTAAAAAAAAGCTGTCATATAATCACCATAACACAACTTTCTTTTAGTTTTAGTCAAGCATTTGAATAACAATTGCCATGTGTTTTTTTTTTTTTTTTTTTTTTTTTTTTTTTTTTCCGGCTTAGGAACTGTCCTCAATCAAAAATCAACATCCCGTGAATGAGTGCGACTATCTTATCATTAACTTTAAGCCCTCAACTAATGGATCAAGACAATAATCATTAAACTCTTGATCCAAAAGCTAAGGCTCTTTCTCTAGGTGCAAGAAGCTCCATAAACAGACACGTCACATGTACACCAGCAATGACAAGTTGACAACCTCAAATTCTGCATTTCAATAAGCTTATTCAGTTTTAGTTATAATTAAAAAGCAAATGAAATGCCAGATAAAAATTATGTTTATATAAGTTTTTAAGGATAAAAATTGGAACAGGATAAACCGGTTTATGGTAAACCCTGTTGTATGATCAAAACCCGCCTTCCGTTTTAGTTCTGGCCGTTGTAGGGTTTATCTGTGTGACCAATCACCGATGGTTCCTTCCTTGAAAGCCACCTTTATTCTTTCCAAAGAAGGCATTCTTTGGTTTGGGTATCTCGTGAATATCCATCACCTGAATCGTTCTTTGCTTTTTCGCTTCACAAAACACAAAACAAACCCACAATCACTATTTCAATAGTACCAATTATGAGAAACCCCAAAAAATGATGGTACTAAAACAACAGATTCTAAACATCAAATCAGACAAACAACAAAAAGAGGTCAAACCATTTTCAGCTTCTTGGTAGTTCTCATGAAGCCGCCTCCTTGCTGAAGCCAACCTTTCAAGATCTATACTTGTATCCCTCTGTGGTCTCTGCAAGTCAAAAGGTACAAATTTTCACAACCCTATTTGAAGAAAGTATAAACTGTTTCCTGTGTTTGGCTGACAAGAAAATGTGCCCAAAAATGGTAATAATTGGTATCGAACAGCATAGCATTCAATAAAAACCAACCAAAACTAGCTCCCTCTCAAACTTCACAAACAGTAAAATTAACCCAAACTACTGTTTATCTATTGCTTTTCCTTTTCTCAGAAATGAAGTGAAATGATTATCCAATTGAGATTAGTACACTTGGGGGAGGAGCAGAGGCAGAAACAGGAGCTGAATGGGGCGGTTTAACAGGAGCTTCTCGTCGAGGAAGAATCGCTTTCGGCTTAGGTTCTGGTTCTGAATTGTTCTTCTCTGAGCCAGAACTCCCATCTACAGTTAATTTGGGAAAAGAGTTAATAACAAAATCTGATTTGGAAATTGAAATCTAATTTGATACTCTACTTACTGTGTGGATTTGGAGAATACCCGAAATCAGGAACCTGCAAAACCAAAAGTTTTGACCTCAAAAATTAAGAATTTTCAACTACTTTTTTCTTTTTTCTCTCTTTCCCTTTTTTTTTGTGTGTCAAGAAAAGAAAAGGCAATGCCGGTTGAAGCAATGCTGATTTCACCTGGTGATGACAATTTAGAGGATTCCTTTGTACGTTTTGCTGAGGAGAGTCTCCATCAGCTGCCACGAACTTCGTTTTCAGTTAAACCACTTCTAGTAGTAATTTGTATATCTAAACTAACTACTATATTGATATATATGTATCTACACACGTGTGTGTTGTGTAGAGAAAGGTTTGGTGGTGTACCGATGAGATTTGAAGATGCAAGTTCACCAGGTGGATTCAACTTCACCCATTCGTCAACTAAATCTTTCCATTTCCTTTAAAAAGGAACAAATTTAGCAATTTCAGAACTGCTATTTGTTTATATATCTGCATATAGTTTCCATAATGGTCGAAATCCGAATCTACAAACCTGACGAGATGTTTCACCAATTTGCGTACGTCATTAGATGAATGCTTACGCAGTCGATTCACATGCCTCCCAATGTCAGTTTCCTAAAACAATTAGTTTTCAGAGAAAGAACAAGACCCAATCATATATCACTCAAATTGATTCAATAATTTACCTTGAGAGCTTTGAATGTTATATCCATATCAGCAAGGCTCTGAAGCAATTCAACCACGGAATCTTCAGACTGAAACAGACAAAAACAAAATCGACACAGCAAATCAGGGAAATATTGAATCAATCAGAAAATAAAATAAAATATATATATCTATATATAAAAAATAAATAAATAAGAAAAAATTGAAATGAAAATCGAGACCATACCTGGTCTGGATCTTCAAGGTGTTCTTTGATTCTGAGAATTTTCGTCTCTTCGTCATCGAACAAACCTGCGTACGGATCTGGTTCTTCATCATCATCCTCACCATCCTCATCTCTATGAATCGATTGCGGAGTCGAAGGCGAAACACTTTTGCGGCCTTCATGACTGCTCGTTATCTGACCGTTCGGGGTCCGACGGTCAACGTCGCAGTTGCGACACGGTGGAGCGACGGTGGCGTAGAGTCGCTCGACGATTCGATCTCTCCGATTCTTCAATTCGTGCCCGTAGTCCAACGAAGCAACGGTGATCGCAGTGTCAATCAACGTCCACAAATCCACCCTTGAATTCGCCAAAATCATCCGGAAATCCTCCAAATCCATCTTCCAAACACCCAATCGAACGAACCTGCAACAATTCTCGTCTCGCTCTCTCTCTCTCTCTCTAGCAATGAATATCAGAGCTCTCTCTTTCTCTATCTGAAAAAGAGAAGATCCGCAACTAAAGATTTGAATATAGCGAATTGAATAGCAGATTGTGAAATAACAGGATCAGATCTAGAGTCAGAGATCATTGGTGTGAAACGACGTCGTACGGGACTCCGTCCCTCCGTCCATGGATGAACCGAAACAGAACAATCAAAGTACAATCAAACCGTTAAAATTGAACAACCAATCAAAGCGATAACAATAATAAAACATCTGATCTAAAGAGCACATAGTGTGGTAGAAGACGGAGAGTCGTATGGAATTTTCTAGAGAATTACACAGACAAATGGGAGCATATTCTGATATGAAAACTCTGCTTTTTTATTTTCTTTTTTTTCTTTTATTTATCTTTTTCTATTGTTATGGGATGATAGAGATGAGCTGTGAAGCAGCAATATTTTCGATGCTCTATTTCTCTCTCTTACACTGTTTTTTTGGTTTTATTGTGGTTTTGAAGATGGGTGTGAACGGACAGCGTGACGAGAGCGAGTTAGAGAGAGAAAGTGTTATCTGTCACTTTTTTGAAGGCATATTGAATTTGCAATATTCTATATCTATTCTATATCTATAGATCGTATTTTCATACGCGGACATGACTCGCTTCTTATCAACTACGTACTACTCTTTCTCCACGTGTTGTTATTCTTATTTTACCGCCATGTTGTCATCAAACTGGGTTCTCCTTAAAATTTTCAATAATATTAGACTCCTATTGTGTTATTATTTATCCTAATCGGGTATATAAGCACATTTCATCATTCAATGGAATGAGAATGAAGGGACATGCTAATTAGATATAACCTGGACAAATCAACTTTAAAAAAAGCCCAAATTCAACCTGTACAATTTCAATTTCAATTTTTTTTTTTTTTTTTTTTTTTTAATAATCTTGGCAAATACTTACTCACTTATAATTAAAGGTGAATGGCGTTTTTTTTTTTTTTTTTTTTTAATAATCTTGGCAAATACTTACTCACTTATAATTAAAGGTGAATGGCGAGATGAAAAAATGTGGATAGAGTGTTAACTTAGTAATTATGTTCTTTAGTTGTTTTGTGATTTTTTACCTATCACTAATTTTGTTTTTTTTTTCAATCTTTAGTTCCATTATTAGTTAATTGGCTTGTACTTTCTAGTAGACACATTCAACAATATAAATCAATGTAATGACAATTCATAAGCAAAATATATAATTTTATAATAACAAAAACGAATAAAATTATGCAATAATTTAAGTTACAAAACAAGAAAAAATGATTTTGGAAGAATTTTATGCAACATGCTCAACAAATTATTCAATACTATAAAATTGTAAATTGTAACGAGTATTGAGTGGAGAAAGAGAAAAAAATAACAACAAATGAGAGAGCAAGAAAAATATGTGAGGAATAAGGAAAAAAAAAAAAATCTTAAAAAAATATAAAAAGTTTCACCAATTCCCACCATAATGGCTAAATATATATTTAATACTTACAGTTAGTGTATGTGTGTGCAATGAGGATAGAAAGAAAGAAAGAAAAAAATGACATAAGGATAAAAATATTTTGGAACCACTATTACATTTCTTTGTTGGTTAAGCTTTAATAATAGAAGAAAATAAAAAATTTAGGTAGATTATAATATATAAAGAAATTTATTTTTTTGAAAGAAAAATAAAATGAAAATTGATAGAAAGAAATCATTTAGGCTCACTATCAAATCTCTTTATTCATTGAGATTAAATAATTAATGGAAATAAGTTTTTAAGAAAGTTATAATATATAAAGAAATGAAAATTTTTGGGACCTTATTATTGGTTAAAGCCTTAGTAACCGTCTTGTTCGATGTTTTATTGGGTATTATCGAACACCTAAAGTCATACGTTATGATTAAACCAACAATGCCTTATACACTTAAGGGTTCGATCTTTCCTTCTGTTCCACTCCTGTTATGAGGACACATTAGTCATTTTCATTCAGCTTATTGACAATGACGATAGTTAAGCATTAATGGTCCAACTGTAGCATTAATTATAATTGTTTTGCAATGGCACATGTTTTACCATTCTCTTGGCTAGGCCCATCCATTATTGAAGGCATATTTTGACTTCTCATCCACCATATATATTTCAAGATCCTTCCAAGTATTTCATGAATTAGCTACTTGTTATTCGAGAGATCTTACCTTGCTCCCTTAATATCACTAGTTTTACCCAATTTCATTGACCTAAAACCAGTCTTGGGGTTTAAGCAGCTCAAGCGTTGTTCCTTGAGTTTGGCAATCTTGAGAGATGCTGATTCTCAAATAATGATTTAAGGGAGATTCGAGACTTCTTTGGCGACTCGAGAATTGTTCTTCCAAATTCGATTTAACTTTGAGAGAAGTAGCGAAGTTTTGAGTTTTGAGCACTCAGAGTATCATTTAAAATTTGATTGACCTGATAGAGTGTGTCAAAGAGATTTTGTGGGACTCTAAGTTTTGAAATTCCTGAGAGCATTTCAGGATTTCGTGAAAGAGAGATTTGGTTGACCCGAGAGATGATCCCAGGGATTTTGAGGACTAGAGCTTGGTTGTCCTCGAGGGAATGTCCCTATGGTCTATTTTTTTTTTTTTTTTCTTTTTGCTTTTTCTTTTTTTTTTTTTTTTCGTTGTTGGAGAACTTCAGACTAAAGTTTAGTTTTTATTTTGTCATTTGTGACGTGGCCTTTTCTTTTGTCCGCGGAGGGGCCATGTGGGTCACACCCAAAAACATGATGAATTAGAACCCCCAACTCAGCATTCAAGAAACTTTTGTCCAACTTGACCTCAAACCCTAGGTTTAGGTTGATTGTATTAGCTAGCATTGGTTTTCCAGCACTAGTTAGCATTTTGCTCTCATTCTTCAGTTAGGGCATACTCATTTTAAAAGTAAACTAAAGGAGTTAAAGTCCAAAAACATGGAATTTAATCTAAATTCACTTAGTATATTCTATATTTTGAAATTATCATTGAAAAAGGCCAAGGTTAATGCACCAGAAGAAACTTCCCCAATAAATGTGAAATATATTTCTTGGAGCAAAATTCGTGAAAGACAGATTACATTGTCCAACTACGTATCCTTCTTGCTGTACTTAATTTGTTGGAAGTTATGTCAATTCATTCTTTTAAGGCAAGCATGTTAAATAAATAATCATATATATATATATATATATATTATTCCATAAATAACGACAAATCAACAATTAAAATAGTAGTAATTTTAATTCTACAAGTTTGATAATTAAATAAATCATAATCTAATCCAACTTTAGCACCTTTATTCAATAAAAAATCAGCATTCTACATAGGAAGGCTAGGCATACCTTTAAGCTTTGACAAAGAGGCAATTTCAGCAACCTGGAATGATGGTGATCAAAGGAACAATGATACTAAAGCTGGAATGACAGTGATCGAAGGAACAATAATGCTATAGCATTAAGTCACGCAATCTTTTTCAGTAAGTGTCGTTCTCATATTTTAACACACTTCGCTCAAGTTTTAACTCGAGTTTCAATTATTTATAACTTAATTTTGCTGTTTTTCTCTCCCATGCACTCACGATCCTGCTCCACTTGGCTAAAGCAGCACGGGTAGGGTTTGGATGCATGACTAATACTTGTGCGACAATAATTCAATTCGTCAGTTTTGCAAAGATCTCCCCTTAGCCATATCTTAAGGGAAGATCTTAAATTAACCTTTTTGTTGATTAGATGCGTTAATGACTACAATATTACAATGTGACCAAAAAATAAAAGATGCGACTTTAATTTCAATTTATGTCAACAGCAGATATTCTAAAAAAAATTTCTCATACTGTCTTATTTACACTTATAATTAATTGAATATTAATTGTCTTCATTTTTCACTCACTACTTGTCTTAGAATTTGAAATTGTAATTAGAAAAATAATTAGATATCATCAAATTTTAGCATCTCGTTACTCAGTATATACAAATAGATTTTAGATTACTATGTTTGGCCGCTTTAATTTAAGATTGTCATAAATTTAGTTCAAAATGTTAATTCAAATACATACTGTCGTGCTCCCAAACATAGCGACAATTTAATTATTTTGCAAATTCACATCAATTCACATCCATTCAAAACATGATTTTTTTTTTCAAATTAAGAAAATATCATAGGGTTAATTGCACAAAAACCCCTGCAGTATCCTCTTATTTTCTTTTTCTCCCTTGTGAAATGTGAATTGTGAATTTGTGATTGCCGAAAAGGTTGACCAACACAACAACAAGTGATTGACCAAAATCATGGGCCTGAGGAAATGGACCCAATGTACCTGGTTCATTATCTCTAAATGTATGGGCAGATATTCGGCGCGTAATGCCACAATCCATAAGATTGGGCCATATCAACTTTTTCCTTTTTTTCCTTTTTACGGAAAGTCGATCAAAATTATCTTTATCAAACAATTTTTTTGACTTTCTCTCTCATCCGTCACTTTGGACACATCCCACATCTTCAATGGGACTTGAGGCTGAATTTCGTAGTAACTTTTGTGAAAGTGAGATGATCCATAAATACTTATAAAATAACATTTTGTATGCCATTATGAGTATATCTATTGGTAGGTTTTTTTTTTTTTTTTTTTTTTTTTTTTCAATTGGTTAGTCAACTAAAAATGTCGGATTAACTAGCATTACTCGTAGATTAATTAAGTAAAGTACATTTTGTTTAATAATTCTTTTCATTCAATTTAGATAAAAAAAAAAAAAGAAAAAAAAAAGGGACCCAAGAATGGATTGACAAAGATATATAATATGTATAAAATATGAAAATAGTCACTTACTCATCGATGAATAAAAATTTCATCCCTAAATAATGATCAATTGATATAACTGTAGTTGAATAAAAGATTATTACGCTATAGATATTAGGAATTTTTTACAGAAAAGTGAGTATAACCTAAGTTTATTACTATTTGGTGAGCGTAGTTTTAATATCTATAAATACATGAATCAATTTTTAGTTGAACCCCTTATTAAGTTAAAATTATATTTTCACCCATAAAATTTATTTTATGCACAACTTACCCAAAGAAACACTTGTACAAGTTTTAGAATTTTGTCAAACAGTACTTAGGAACTGTTACATCGCAAAGGAATTAGGAGACACAACTAGTAGCCTATAACGAAGAATCGAACAACTTAGATCTAGAATTATTCGAATACAGAATATTCTAAAAGCTAAAAGGCAAAGGTTTTAGCTTGGTTTATGAGTAGAATAGAATTTAATAACTTAGATAATTTTATAAAACGACTAGGACAAAATCTTGATTATATTAAAGAACAAGTACCACAAAATTCTGGTACAAATAATTTAGATAACAAAATAATATTAGTCACAATTAAAGATATAAATAGCGAGATTAAAAATATTTCTGAAAATCAAAAAAATAATTATCAACTATTTAAAATCTCTTAAAATTGATATTCAAAGACTATTACAATAGTTTTATGAGCATTAGTAATCCTGATTATCTAACAGTTTTAGCCGAACTCAAGAAAATCGACAAAGACCCGGCCAGTAGGATTTACAAGTTTTAAAACAAACGTACAATCAACTAATTTAAATATTAGATAAAACAACTTCTTAATCCAATTATTACAGCAGTTATCTGAAAAAATTAATAAACTTGAAAAAAATTAGAAATAATAGAAGAAAGTATTCCTAGAGAATTTTCTAAAGAATTATCCGAATTATCAGACAAAATAAAGGATATAAAATTATCAACTAATTCGTTCTCCCCTGTAACCACCAAACGTGTAAATTTATTACAACCACATAAACAAATATCACAATGGCCATTATCCTTAGAAAAGCCAAAGAAATAATGAGAGTAGAAGATTTATATGATAATGAGCATGAATGTCGTCCCAGAAGTATAACTCCATTTTTTACCCATTCTAGAGGAGTATTGTGGATTTGAAGGAGAATTGGACTTTCTGGCATGAAATTATGGGTTTGTTTTTGTTCGAAAGCAATGACTTGGTTTAATCAATTGGGAAAGTTACCTAAGGAGTTTAGATATTTTATTGGTAATTCTTGAGTCAACCTTTATTCCCATAATTTACTAGACTTTCAGAGTAAGATATATAATATTTTACCCATAAAAGAATAAGTACAGTTAATCATCAAGTTATTTTAGGCCTTATAACACTAAAAGCGTGTTAAGAGTTAAATGATAATAATTTATAATTTATGAATTTAGGTGTCATAATGATAGAATTAATAAAATAAAACAGAGCAAAAATAAAAATTAAAACACTTATTTATATTTATGAGATTGAAGAATTAACCATCACGAAAGTGCAATATGGAACCTTATGGCCACATATTGATAGTTAGCCCTGGATATTATCCACACATTGTGTATGTATGTATCCAACCAAAGAATGATAAAATAGAGTGAGAAAATCCAAGCATAAACTGGCCTACCTCCACTTAACATACTTTTTGTCCCCTGAATAATTGTGCAATGTGCATGTCACCATGTGGGTGACGTTATGTAGCATTATATATATACACACACACAAATTGATTATCATAAATCTAGTTCTTGGCCTGACAGAAAGGGCTCTAGAAAGATTATTTGATCATCAAATTGATATAGTCTATTAGATAATATCGAATCCAACACATTTATGACTTTTATTTTACCGTATTGTTAAAAAATTGTATGATCACTTATTTGAAATATATAATATTAGACATTACATTGAAGATTTTTTCTTTTCTTTTTCTTTTTTTTTTTTCTTTTTCTTTTGAAGTTGTTGTGGTGAGCGTCAACAAATATTGCATTGTGACAAATTAAATATTCGATTGTCATTAAAAAGTTATGTGACTAACCGGAAATTTAAAATTCTCCTTCTTCTCATCACTAGAGATAATATTATATTTGTTTTGTTAAAATTGATAGTTAAGGAAGTTTTGACTATTAAATTGATTCCATATATTCAAACGGTATATTTTTAAAAATTTTTACTTTGTCAGTTTAGATTTATAAAACCCTTATAAAACAAGAGTTATAATTTTCTATTTGTGATTATTTTCTTTTGTATTCTTCGACTAATTTTGGAAAGTTTTTAGTTTACTGTTTGTGAGGGGAAAGAAAAAGTGGATGAAATAGAGAAAGATTAAGAACATAATATATACATGGTTGGGCACTAAGGCCTACATTCATGGATCAAGAGTCAAGGCTACATTTCTCTTATTACTTGTATTTCTTGATATGTTTTCATTGTATTAATACACAATATATAGGGAATAAAGTTGCAGACAAAAGGATTAAATTAATGACTGAATAAAGGAGGAAAAAAAAGGAAAATGAATATAATATATATGTATATTAATATATTATACATATATATTTCAATATTCTTCCGCAAATTCAAAATGGCTTTCTCGAAGCCAACTTGAGTTTGGAGATGAAATCTTGAAAACGATAATGGAGTGAAAAACATCCGAAAGGCCGGAACAATGCCAGGAAATAGTCAAAAACGGTGGTAGAGCGAAAAACATCCGAAAGGCCGGAACAACGCCAGGGAATAGTCGGCTCTCTGACAACTACAGAAATAGAACAAAGGAGCACGTGGGCGCGTGTAGCGCAAGTGAGATCTACTCGCAGAAGTATGCGTCGCGTGGGCATGTGAAACACGAGTCAAATTTACTTCGTAGGAGCTTTTGCAACGATATAGGATCGTTGCTTTGATACCATCTTAACTTTATGATGTGGAAATATAAGATGTAAAATAGAAAGATGAAATAGAGAAAGATTAAGAATACAATATATGCATGATTTAGCACTAAGACTTACATTCATGGATCAAGAACCACTGGGGCTACATTTCTCTTATCACTTGTATTTCTTGATATGTTTATATTGTATTAATACACAATTAAATCAAAGAGTAAATCAAGGAGGAAAGAATGAAAAACGAATATAATATCTCAGTAGAAGCACCATGTTTTCTTTCTTTCTTTTTTTTTTTTCTTTTTTTTTTTTCTTTCCCTTTTTTTTCTTTATAAGAGATGATTCTTTCTTTTTTAGTTTAATTGGACAACAAAAGTACTAAGATACAATAAGGGTCTCCTCCACAATATTTTAGTTTTACCTTCCTTGGTCAATCTTACCCCTTTTCATTTTAATTTAATTTCACTCAATTTCACTGAGAACCTAATTACTACTTAATCTCACGTAACGGCCTGCAAAGAAATTTTAAAAATATAACCACACCAAAATCTTGTTCCTACTACGGACCATTCAAAGTAAAATCATTTACCCATTCCTCATGCTATATATATATATATATTATATTGCCCATATACTTCATATTCTTCATAACAAAATGACTTATTTTTACTCCTTACTTTCATTCTTCTACTTGAGCATTCTTCAATTCCTTATACACCAAGCCATTGCCCGGGAACCTACTACTACTAGTCCAACAAAAGGGTTCACTTCTCTACCACTTAATCAATCCTACTACCACATTCAGAAACCCTACAACATCCCCAAAGATCATCAATATAGTTTCTTTCATGGAGTTCACAAACTCTGGGTTTTTGCCACGGACAAGCCTCATAATCCTACAAGCCACACAAAACCTCGAACTGAGATTGGTATACAAGTAAGCAACTCGAACACTTAATTAATTATATGATATAAAAGAACATATAATTATTTTTTTCTCATTAATTTCTTAATTCTCTGCAGGGTTACAACTACTATTCAGGTGTGTGTCAGTTTGAAGGATATGGCTATGTGCCTAATGGAACATCAGGTGTGTGCATTATGTAAGTATTCGGTGCAGCCCCTCCTCGCGCCACGACTCTGATGGTTCGAGTCTACAATGGTTCGCTCATGTACTTTAGGCGTAAGGTCCTGGTTTCACACATCTATGACAGGTGGTTCCGGCTTAATGTTATCCACGACGTAGATGCTGCAAAATTGAAGGGTTTTGTTGATGGAATTCGAGTGTTAGAGGCACATGGTCATGGAGGAAAGTCTCATACCTTCAAGTGCAGAGTATATGCCCAAAATCATGATTCACACTACATGGAATCGCGATGGAAGGACATTAAAGTTCTCCGGAAATACGACTGATCATCATCATTTTTAAGAATAACTAATGTATATATCTTGTTAAATTTATCTAGTCCTTGTAAACACCATGCAATAGCTTGGCCAGTCATATATATATATCATATGTTTTTATGTTTTAGCATAACTTCAAAATCATCGGATTGTGTTTTATTGATGGAGTTTGCATTATAATCATCGTAACCAAAATCAGTATTGTTTGCCTTAAGATTATATATATATATATATATGATATATCCCAATTTTCCGAGACATTAAATTAGTCCTAGAACAATTTTAGCATCCAGTTATGATAGTAAAATTTAACGTTTTGGATCATATACAATTCATTTCCATGAGTCTAAAAGAAAATTTATCAAAGTCTTACAACATAGTACGATATAATTTTCACTTATTAAAATCTCCAAGAGAACATCAAACACCATGATAGTTATAAGAAAAGACCAAAAAGGACACACAACTTGAGCAAACAGAAACAAACCAAAGCCATATCAGAAACTGATAATTATTACTCAGAACTCTCAACATCCCAGTAAAGTACTACTAATTAAACTTTCCCGCCATACCAAACCATCACCACCGAATTAATTAAACGCGGGCAGAGGCTGCAGTGAAGGGGTAGGAGCAGGGGCAGAGGAGACGTCGCAGTAGCCTCGCAGTATGTCACCCTCCTGTGCTGTGTAACCGAGGGAAGTCAACATGGCAGGCCAGCAATGGTGGGTGATCATCGCGATGGATTGGCAACATGCAGGACCGATATTCGTTTCAATATTCACGAAGAAGAGAACAATCTCATTCGAGCGTGATTTTAACTCTGTGAGTGCATTGAAGTAATCGATCAAACTGCCATCGAGTCTCGCCCCTGCTGCAGGCAGCTCTCTAGCTGCACTTGCATAGTTTGTATTTGCTACGAAACATGTGATGGTGATGAGCACGAGAAACACACATTTGAGAGCCATGATATTGACAGATGATGAAAAGTTGAAGGTAGGGAATGAATTTATATAGTGAGGGAGGTTGAGGAGAGAAATGTGATGAATTTATGTGATTTAATTTAATTGGAAATCCCAAAAGCCATAACGGTCATTGATCAAACACCATTATTGATTGCATTAAAAATTTCAGAGTTTTGGACCAAATAATGGGGGAGTGGAGGATTCAATACCAATGAATGCAAGCAATAGTCCTCTGCATTCTGTAACAATAGTCCTCTGCAGTTACAGAATGCAGAGGACTATAAATTATTAAAAATTCTAACCCGCTTCAAAAAAATATATATGTTAATTTTTATATTTTCTTTGTATTGACACAGGTGATATTTAAGTCACGGACTTGCGGAACAGAAATAATTCGAACCCAGGACACTGGATATGATTTGTTTGATTTCAAGTTTTTGAGGTTGTGACTTCAAGAGAACAATAATTTAATTGCATATTTAATAGGCACCCAATTGATCTTATTAGTTATTCTCCTATGTAAGCTCTTTAGCCCAAGTTCGATCCTGGACTAGACCCGTTTATATTTGATCCATTGGGCTGGACCAACTCAGAACTTGTTACGCTTTCGGCTATTACAACCAATGATCGAACTTGTTTCCCAGGTCGTTAACCGCCTACAGAATCACGCTTTTGGGTAGGACATCCTTTTTGACATAGGCTCAGTTGGGCCCATCAGCTTCTCGGGCTACAAGGCTTTGTGCCATTTTAGGACCTTTAATCTTATGAAAAATCACTTCAACTCGACAAACACATGCATTTCTCAATTATTTGAATTTGATCCAGGGTGGTTTACTAAATTAACTAACATTTTACATTATTTCTATGGATGGCAATGGGGGTGGGGTGGGAAATGCCATCCCCATCCCGGTTTAGAATAGTGAAGGGGCATCAAATTCCACTCGGCCAGGTTCAACCTGGCCCACCAGTAAAGAAGGAGGCCCAATGACGGCCCAAGTGCAGATCAAGCCCATTGAGAAGAAATGAAGTCCATATTATCCTTAGAAATAACCAAATGATTTTTAGGGTAAGAATAGACTTCTATAAATAGAAGAAGGGCAGAAATGTAAAAGATTTAATTGAAGCGTAAAAAATTAACCTTTCTAATAAAGGGAGCAATTTCTTGCATATTCAAATAGCTATTCGCATCTCCAACCAGGGCGATGGAGAGGGGATTCCAAAATTTTTTTAAAAAAATCGTTTGTAATTTCTAATAATTTTAAGTTACTTATATGTGGTAGTTGAAGGTGCTTCTATAGTAATTGAAGGTTGTTTACAAAGGAAATACTTGTAATACTTTCAAGCCTTTAATTTTGCTTTTAAAATTTCAAATCTAATAAAAATATTGTTGCAATCCTTGCAACAACATTTTATTACTATGTTTATATATATATATATATATATATATATATATTATACACATACAAACACGTATATAAATTATATTTTATGATTTAAAGAGAAGAAAAAGAGTGATGTATAATTGACAACTTCATTTATCTTAAATAATATTCTCTCTTAATTTTCCTCGTATTATTTATAAATGTGCTCTAAAAAAATGTACCAAAAATAAATAAATCGTTACAATTATATCTTTTATTTTTAAAATTTAATTTTATATTACTACTTCATCCCTCCCAAGTAAAAATTTCTGGCTCTGCCCCTCTCTGCCCACGCCAAAACCGTTTAATAAACGGGGCGAGGCAGGCGCAGCTTGGATGATTTTGTATAATTTTTTCATAATTGTAATACGAACAATTACGAATCTAACAAAAGTAAATAATAAAACTAATGCTTAACAATGATAATAATATTTTTTTCTCTTATGCAAATAAAAACAAGATTCATCTTCTCACTTGAAACTTAATTAAGACTAAAATTATTGTTAAAATATCAAAATAATACATAAAAAATCTGAAATAAGAATAATATAAAAGAAAATTGAGTATTTAGATTAGTGATTGGAATATAATAAACTAAGACTTGCTTAATATAAATTTAATATTATTAAATATAAAATAAAGTATAAGAATAAATTGTAATTTATTACTAAAAATGAGATGAAGCGGGGTAACCTTTTCCATCCCGTTCATTCTAAGCTGATCGGATAAAATGGGACAAAATATTTTGCCATTCCTAATTATTTCAGAGAAGGACTTGGAAGTAACTTCATTTTAAGACGTAAAAGTGACGAGTACCTCTCTTGCATTTTCACCAACGGTCTGAATAATTTCAAAAAGCATCCGGCATTTGGCAATTATGTCATCAATTGGAGAATAGAAGCATATATTAATGAATATAATAGTTGGGTTGAAATTGGTTGGACAGCCCATTTGTTAGCACATGTTCTATTTGTCAATTTGTGGATTACAACAAATTTGACCGTTATGGCTTTTAACTGAAGTTTGGTGAAACCACCCGATTTGGAAAAACAACATTTTGTCAAACATCGAATCATTCTATTCAACATAATAAAATAAAATCATACCGAGCCCGATTATAAGAATCGTTAGAAAAAATAATTTAGTTTATTAAAAGTTATTTTGAAGTCATTTAACATTTTTGTCTTCCTTGCATTAATCCCATATGAATGGGGTCGATCACATAAATTATTTCTCTCTCCAATCTTTTCTCTAACATGTCATTTTACTTGCTACATTTAACTTTTTAACGTAATGTTCAAAAAACCCCATCCTATCTTATTTTTGTTACATTGAAAATAATAAACTTTGACAGTAGCCGTCTTCTTATAATTTAGGTGTCTCTATGTCTCAAAATAAATATCCAAATTATCTAAGTATACAATTTTCTCCTTTCTTATTGCCACAACTTATTTTTCTTTTATACTTTTAGTAACCTCATCTCTTCTAATCACTCCACTCATAACATTCTCATTTTGATAAAATATCCCACTAACAATTTGTGCAACATGTTCCAATTAATAAAAAATAATTATTTTAAATAATCTTTTAATCTCAAAGTGTTATCGATCATTGGGTTTCTATGCCTTTGTGAATGAAATTAGTTGGAACTCGGAATCAATAAAAAGAAAAAGAAAAGGTCATTAGTACTCATGAAAACAGAAAAGGGAAAATATATTATTTTTACAATTTACAACACTGTATATCAATGCACACATACATCACAAGTTTAGTTTCTAAGCAAGCATACATAAAGCCCAGTTGTGTCGCCTCGCACTCATTGAAAATATCTGATCGTGACTCTATAACGGGCCCGCAGGCCCACTAGTGTAGCATATTCTGCCACTGTTCACTGGGCCCACTTTATTTTACGTGGCTCGTAGTGGATTATTTTGTTTCCTGAACCGAAAATACTACTACTGCAGAACAATGTTTCCATGCGGCAAAGCTAATTAGGAAGCCGATCAAGATTACGCATTTCTCATGCAATTATGAGTTTTTAATTCTTTTCTACCTTTAAATTCTCGTTTTCATAAATTAAGCAAATGGCATTTAAACAAGTGTTGATGAAATTATTGATTTTTGGACCCATCTAATCACAAATGCTGCAAAAATAATTATGTGAATAGCCTCTTTTTAGACTTGCGTAATAATACGAATGAGTTAGTCCAAGTCGGAGTGATTCACCAATACATTGATTCATTTATAACTTTAATTAAAGTTGGTTTTATTTACAAATATGACTCACTGATCTTTCTTTCTATTTTTCTTTTGTGCATCTATTATATCTCCACAAAAATATATATATATATTTTTTGAAACTTCTAAAAAGAAACTTATATATCCGTTTGTCTTTACTAGAATTGAACTTCTCACCTTTTACTTCAAAAGGTAGATAAAATACTACAAAGTGTGAAAATTTGGACACTCACCTTTTATTTTGAAATGTAGAGAGGATGTTATTAAGTTACACGACCTTTGGTGTAGGCCGTATAACATGAGATGAGTCAAATTTAGGTTCTCTTGCGACTCAAATGAGTGCCTCAAGACTTGAACACGGACTTTTTAGGGAGCAATTCAACAACTCGAGTAACACGACACTTGTAATTATTTTTGTGTTTGAATATTATTATTTTTAAATAACTAATAACAATTATTTTCCAATGCTCTACTTCAAATTTATTTTAAAAATAATTTAAAGTTGATTATTTTGGCATATATTTGTGTCTTAATTAATTAACTTTGACAAATAAACTCTTAATTAATTAACGCTGACAAATTAGTCAAACTATCAGCATGAATATAAACTAAATTTTTTGTTGGTTTCTTTTGGGTAACAATACCAATTATAGTTGTTAATGGGATAAACTATAATGTCAGGATATTTATAATTATGTAACCAATTATAGTTGTTAATGGTATTTTATATAAGGAAAATAAATTTTGCACCAATTTGTTTTAGTGAATTGTTGGATCTCGCCTTGGTGAATATAACTTCTAATACTTCTTGTCTTGTAAAAAAAAATTATGCAGCAAATATGAAAATGAGTCCCTCCACTTATATGGTATATAAATAACAAATAAGAAACAACAAATTGGGGCAAATTTCACTCTCTTTATAATATTTATTCGTAATAAGTAACCAAACCTAAAAGTAATTGTTATGCAAGCATTATACTCTCTGTAATGAATAAAAGCGATCAATAACTTCTTGTTCATGTCCATCATCATTGTGGTAAAGTGTGTTTGGTTAATGTACAACAATTATTTGCATGTTTGAAGAGTAAAATATAATTTTCCTTGTACTTTTTTCGTTGGATTGATCTGTTTAGAAACAAATAAAATATAGAATAAGACGGTATACAAAAGGCATCATAGTTTAAATGATTTTTTTGCAAGAAAAGATTTAGTTCACGATAATGTGGAGAAAAAGAAAAACAAAATGATAGCATTTTTTTTATTATTTGTGAAAGAAAGGAAGGAGAGCACAGTGTTAATTTATCCTCATCTTTGATAAATAAAGAAGTCAAAAATAAATAAATAAAATTTGATAACCATTCACTATGATTTGGAAAAAATAATAAAAATAAAAGATATTGATAACCGTTCACTATGGTTTGGAAAAAATAATAAAGAGAAAAAGAAAGAAAATGATTGGTTTTTTTTTTTTTTTTTTTTTTGGCAAATTGTATAAAACCTCCCTCTATTTTCAATTATTGCAAAGTGATGCTATACTAACAAAAACTACCCTTAATACTAATTTAAGAAAGATTTTTATTTTAGGTGTTTTTTAATTTTTTCACCTCCAATGAGGTTCGAACCCCTGACCTCTCTTTTGAGAATAGGAGCCTTATACCGTTAGGCCACAGCCCTGTTGGTAAGTTTTTCAATGTATTTTCATTTTTCATAGATGCGTTAATAAAAAATCGAGAATTTTTTTACAATACTATGTCGAATGAGCTATTTACTTTAAAGGGACAATATCTTTTAGGAAAATGACATAATTGACAACTTTAATACCCCAATTTAAAATTGAGTCACATAAAAAGATATATGTGATTATTCTAAAATTTCAAACTTAAATGGAAATCAATACTACTTTTTTTTTTTTTGTTTCCATAAATTACGTCTTTTTCCCTTTTTTTTTAATTTTTATTTTATTTTTAGTTTTCTATAAGTGCTACTACATCTTTTCTCGTCTTCTTCTTTGTTTTCATGGTAATTTTCGCTGCCAAAGGTTGCAATACTTTCCAAAAATAGAAACATAAAAAAAATTCAAATAATTAATTACTTTATATTTTAAAATAGGTCTCATTATATTTGATAGATAGAGACGATGAAATAATAAGTTTTTATTTATCAGGCTAAGTAGAAGGATTATATTTTTTAATCCATGTTTAATTTATTTTTTATTTTTTACACTCGTCAAGTTGCGAGTGGTCCACATCAGCATAAAAGCAAGGAGATCCTACCTAAGCAGTATGAAACAAACATTAGTCCTTTTTTAAAAATTTATATTAAGTGATATTTTTATTAAATAAAATTATTTTATATCCACTTCCCTCAATCAAAACTGAGGTATTTGTTATTCCAGATTTGCACCATTCACGCTCTTCTGCTCCGCCCTCGTGCATCAAATAAAATATAAATGGATTGAAGGTGAAGTGCACAAAACAAAATAAATTAATTGCAAATTACACGTCATTTATTTTATTTTATCAAGTGAAAGAGAGATGCTGTTCACAACCAAAAAGACAGTGTGAGATAGTTTCATTTAATAAAAAAAAAATGGCAAAAATGCAAAAAAAAACCCCTAAACTATCACGAATCCACATTTTACCCTCTGAACTACAAAAACGAACAAGTCAGTACCACAACTATCAAAATCGTGCAAATTAACCCCTGAAACGCAATTCCAGCCACTTTCCGGCCGATTTCATGGTAAATTTACAAAACTACCCATTGTAATTAAAAAAAATACCCTCAATGCCCCTCTGTTCTCAAGTCCATCTCCATTATCTTCTGTTCTTCTCTCTCTCTCTCTCTCACACACACACACACATACACACACTTGCATATACATCGGTGCTAGATAAAATGGCACAAATGAGTCTTCCCCAAGGATTCAGGTTCCACCCAACTAACGAGGAACTTGTTGATTACTATCTAAATAGGAAAATAACATGCCGTGTGATCGAGCTTTAAATCATCCCAGAGGTTGATCTCTACAAATGTGAGCCCTAGGATTCTACGTACCTACAAATTTACTTGAATATATATATATATATATATATATATATATATATAGAAATATCCTTAATTTGATTGACTCTAAATTAAATTGAGTTGAAATTTGATATATATATTTGATTTGGTGATGTGCATGTATAGACAAGTCATATTTACCTGGCAAAGATATGAAATGGTACTTCTACAGCCCAACGGATAGGAAATACCCAAACGAGTCGAGGACTAACCGGGCAACCAAAGTTGATTACTGGAAAGCCATCGGAAAAGATCGGGTGGTGCAGTCGGAAAGGCCGTGGGTGGGGATGAAGAAAACACTGATTGCTTGGTTAGTCTTTCGCCGTGGAACAAAACATTAATTTATTTATAGAATGTGTGATCCTCTGACAAGCTTGTATTCTATCTTTCCCAATTATTCACCTAAACCACCATCTCTGCCGTGGAACCCCCATCCATGCTTTAATAGCGGCGCTGAAGCAGCGAGGTTACCTGAGTAGTAACAGTAGCCACACATACACACATACACACACACACATATATATATATTGACATATTTTTCGACCTCTCCACAGCCCATCGCCGGCCCATGCCGCCATCGCCATCGCTGCACTGACAGGCCAAACCAGTCCTCTCCACAGCCCATCGCCGCCCATGCCGCCATCACCATCGCTGCACTAGCCACCTATGATATAATTGGATCAAAACCGGTAGTTTTTTTCATCAATATATATATGTGTGTGTGTGTGTGTGTGTGTGTGTGTGTGTGTGAGTGAGTGTGTGTGGCTACTGTTACTTTTTTTCATCAATATAAATATATGTAAATATATATGTGTGTAAAACTGGTGGTCAACCACCTATCGATCTAAATGCTCCATTGGCTCCGGAGTCATCGAATTTTGCTGGTATGTTTGGTGTTTTTGTGCTCTCTTTCTTCTTCTTTTTTCTGTTGATAATTCACAAAATTGAGGGGAAAGGAAGGAGGAATTGACTAATCAGAGAAGCCTCGTGGATGGACGAAGGGAAGTTACAAAACGGGGCTGTGAAGGTTCGCGGCACCAGCAGGAAGGAGAACTCGACTGTGAGCTTCTCCATGTTTACCTCATTACGTGGCAGAAAAGTTAAAATGAATAAATAAATAATAATATTCATTAGTATTCGAGGGTAATTTCGAAATTAAAAGAAAAAAACAGTCACGTGCTGACCTTGTGGGCCAGAAAGTGGCCGGAATTGAGTTTCAGGGGTTAATTTGCACGATTTGTGATAGTTGTGGTACTGATTTGTTTATTTTTGTAGTTCAAAGAAGTAAAATGTGAATTCGTAATAGTTTAGGGGGGTTTTTTGTATTTTTGCCAAAAAAAAAAAAAAAAAAATGGAGTTTCTCAAATTTTTTATTTGAAATGTCAACATCTCCCCAAGACAAAATTAACATTTGTCTTGCATGTGGAATTTGTTTTTAGTACGACAAAAACAGGCGTAGACGAAACCTTTGACTCTCTCTTCATAATAATGTACTTTACCAAAATCTATACGAATTTTCGATTCTGTTGTTGGTTTACTATGCATTACTTTTTTATAAAAACATTACAAATTTTCAACATATAGAATTGTAATCATAATATTGTCACATGCTCATGGTATTATACACTGGAAGTATTAAGAACATATAGAATTGTTGCCGATTATAATTTGTGACGTATTAATTGATATGCAATCTTTTTTTAAATTTGATCCGTGATTTGTATGGGTCAATTTATATTGATTTATCCGATTCCGTTCCACATCCACCGCGACTATGATCGATATTGCGAATCATAAAGCCAATTTATTATATTATAAAAAAAAAATTAATTGAATTGAAAATCAAAATATATGTTAAAAATCAAAATAAAGATCTAAAATTTAGAAAAACATGATGAATCCCTCGAGACTCAAATGAATTGAATTGGAAATATTTTCACTTTATGCAGAGGGTAATTATGACATTAAAAATATAAGAATTAAACATTAATTTTGAATAAATATCGGTAAATCTCTTCTGGTAAGAAATACAGTAATATGGTAAGTTTTTTTTATACTTATTTTGCAAAAAAACAGAAGATAATTAGACCCTTAATTAAAGGATTGAAAAAAAGGAAAAAATAATAAGAAAGCAGAGGAGTAAATTACGGATACGTAACAAACTGTAGACAAACAGTGTAATCGCGAGTGATGAGGTACAAGTTACAACCTCGGAAATAGGATCTGTTCACGCGGAGTAGATCATGTCTTTGTACTCCACTCTCCTCATTCTGACTCACCCCTCCCTCCCAGTCCGTACTTTCCATCTCTTTACGCGCTTTCACAGTTGTTACCCTACATGCTCCCTTTACTCTCTCTCTAGACTCTCTCTCTCTCTAGAGAGAGACAACCTGTCACCCACGTAGGTAAAACCCAGGCCACACTCACCGCCTTAAAACCCCATTAATATCTCTCTCTCTAACTTTCTCTCTGTAACATATCTCTACCAACTCCGGTGGTGGACAACTCCGAGCCATCACAACTGTTTGGGCCCCACCCCTCTCTCTCAATAACTTTTCCAAATTATACGTTAGTTCATATTATACCACTTTTTCCTCCGATCTCTCTCTTTCTCTCTCTAAATCCTTCTCTCTTACGCGTCGCGCACACTCTCACTCTCTCTAAAGTCGTGTCACTGATCCCCTCAAGTCCACATTTGGCATCAATCCCCTCCCTCCCTCCACCCATTTTACAGAGCAGACTTAGCTTGCCAAGAAATCAACACACCCTTTTTCTTATTGAATATACCAATCTTTTATAGACTCATTTATTTATTTATTATTATTTTCATCTCAATTGTTTTTCAGCTTTTCTTCTTCTATATGTGGGGTTTGGGTATTTTATGAGGTGGGTTATACAGAGTGGCCCAAAACTGGTGTTTCATCCACAACATTGCCTCCTTTTTGAGGATTTCAGGGGAATGAAAGGTCGATTTCAGAGTTGGGTTTGTTGATTTGAAGAGTTGGGTTTTGAGGGATTGGGGTGGTAATGGAAACAAGAGGGACGCTTGTTGCTGGGTCTCACAATAGGAATGAGTTTGTGCTCATCAATGCTGATGAGACTGCACGGGTAAGACCCTCTCAAAAACCCTCTTTTTCTTTGTTTATTTTTCTTTGTTTCTTTTTAATTGGTTTTGGAGACACCCATTTTCTGCAATTTCTAATCTGATATTAATCAAACATGAAATAATTTTAGTGCGTATATATATATATTCTTTCTCTGGGTTTGGGTTTTGGATTTGTTGTTAACTTGTTCTGATAGTGTCTTTTAGTGATTTTTTTAATTTAAATTTTAATGATTTTAATTTTTTATCCTGTTTGATATCTAATGCAATTGCTGTAGACGATTTTGGTACAAATTATTATTATTATTATTTCTTTTTTTTTTTTTATGTTTTTGTAACTAGCAAAAATAAAAAATAAAAAAACAAAAAAATATTTCTGGAAATTTTGGCTATTTTTATTTATTCAGGAAAGCACATAAATAAAAATTAGTTTTCATGCTGTAAAGTAAGTGGAAATGCTGTTGAAGTTCTGCATATGTGAAAGCGGTATTGATATAAAGTGCCTAAAAATCAATATTCTGGGAAGAGCATGTACAATGGAAGAACCAAATTGTGCAAAATGTTTTGACGAAGACAAATGATAAATTGACATATACAGACAATGTTAATTAATAATCTATTAAAATAGGAGGGGTGGGGGGAGAGGCTTTATAGTCATAAGTAGACATTGTCAAATAATTTGCTCTGGGCATGAACGTGATGCAAGAAGTTTTGAAATTGATAAGAACTATTCTAAAATTTGAAAGAATAATGATTTTATAAAACAAAATGTATATTGACCTGCTCAAACATTACAAAATAGCAATTTCTTTTGAAATTTTTTAAAATTATTGTGTATTTTTTATTTGTTTTTGGATGAATCAATTACAATGTAAATCTCTAAACTCATTTGAGAGTGTGATAAGCCTAGTATCGAAATTAGTAAACATATTTTTTATTTTTATTTTATTTTTTGGCTTTCATATGTAGAGAAAGGAACTTATCTTGTGGTATTTTCATATTTTGTTGGTTTCATTGAAATTCTCTCTATATCATCATGTGATGATAGCACCATAATCATGTTTTTTGTGGGTTTCAGATCAAGTCCGTGAAAGAATTGAGTGGCCAAATTTGCCAGATTTGTGGAGATGAGGTGGAGATTACAGTAGATGGAGAGCTCTTCATTGCCTGCAATGAATGTGCTTTTCCTGTTTGCAGAACTTGCTATGAATATGAGAGAAGAGAGGGAAATCAGGTTTGCCCTCAATGCAAAACGCGATACAAGCGCATTAAAGGTGAGTGTTTCTGAGCTATTCTATGTGCGTCATAATTAAAACCCAACTTAACTTTGATAATTGTCATTAATGAGTGATTCAAATTGCAGGTAGTCCTAGGGTTGAGGACGATGAGGAAGAGGATGACATTGATGATTTGGAACACGAGTTTAACTTTAGGAACCTTGATGGTTTGGGCCCTCAACAAGCTGCAGCGGGGTTGCTCTCTGCGCGCCTTGGCACTGGATGTGGCGGCCATGCTAGTACGTCTAAAACCTCAACATGCTCGGGACATAATTCCTCTCCCCACAGTCCTGAAGTCCCTCTCTTGACCTACGGTGTAGAGGTGAATTGATTATCATTGCTATCTCTCTACCCCTTGTGTGTGCATGTTTACATGCATATGCAATAAGCTGATTTTAATGCTTACATTTCATGTTTTTAGGATGATGTGATTTCTTCTGGTCAACATGCTCTTGTGGTACCTCCAAACATGGGTCAAAGAAATGGAGGTCATCCATTACCTTTTTCTGATCCATCTGTGTCTTGTAAGTCATTTTGCTCTTCAAATTATCTTCCATTGTTGTTAGGTATTACATTTGTCTTAAATGGTGAAGTTTGTGCTTTCAATGTCATAGTGCAACCTAGACCAATGGTTCCTGAGAAAGACATAGCAGGATATGGGTACGGGAGTGTTGCATGGAAGGATAGAATGGAGGAGTGGAAAAAAAGGCAGAGTGACAAACTTCAGGTGGTCAAGCACCAAGGAGAAAATGGTGGTCAGGGCTTTGACGGTGATCTACTGGATGATCCTGATTTGCCTCTGTAAGTGACTTTGTTTATTGATAAGGATTTTTTTTTTTTGGTTTTCTCCTTGCTGTTCTCTTTTAGAAGAAAGAAGGTCATAGTCTGATAAATATTAATGACTCCTGCTGTTTAAGCTGAAAAGAGAATTGTAAAAATAATTGAAAGAAAAACGTTTACTACATTGAACATATTTGGTTCTAAGATACACATGATCTTGTTAAGTGTTCCACAATAACAATATAATATAACTTATGAGGTCATTGCTGCCTGTAGATCAAGGTTGTGGAACTACCAAGGTGTGCTTAAATAATATGACGTGTGCTGTCTGCCTTTTGATATTTATTGATGATTTATCTTCACTACATCCACACTTGTATTTCTAGTTTTTCTAAACTTTCACCCCAAATATTAAATTTTAGTCCTATTTGCACGAGAGACTCTTGATTCTAGAGTTTATATCCTAACCTCTAAGTTAACACTTATCCTTTTATTAAGTTCATCAACCGTAACATTGTTGTCAACATATATCATACACCATTGAGTGTCTGTTAATCTATATTTGAGGCAAAAAATAGGAGCTTAATGCTAACCCTTAATGTAACCTTCCGTTATAACTCGCTTCTCTTATGGTTATTCTTACTATAGCCAAGTCTTCATTGTCATATGTCCTTTAGCATGTCAACACGTCAATTCATGACTCATTTATTTTTTAAAACTTATTATATTGTATATATAGTGGCCTTATTATAGGCTTTCTCTAAATCTATAAAAACCAAATGAATATATTTCTTCTTCTCCCTTTATCTTTCCATTAATCTTCTCAGTAACTATATAACCTCCATTATCAACCACCTTGGCATAAATCCAAATAGATTCTCATGCACCATGATCCTATTTCTTAATCATTGTGCAATCACTCTCTCCTGAATCTCCCCTTATTTTCATCATCCCCTAAAGATTTCTAAACCTCATTAGGAATGTCCTTATGATCTTCAGGTTAAGACTGGACTTCATTGATTGAAATATATGTCATGGTGCACTATATTATTCACTGCTATAATCACCAAACAGTTATTTGTAGTTATATGGAACTGAATGCATTATTTTAATTCTTTTATTTATCAGTTAGTCGTTTACAAGCTTGTTGATGTACTTTTACCAGGATGGATGAAGGTAGGCAACCACTATCGAGGAAGTTGCCCATTGCTTCAAGCAAGATAAATCCATACAGATTGATAATTATACTCCGCCTCGTAATTCTCGGCTTCTTCTTTCATTACCGAATTCTCAATCCAGTTCATGATGCATATGGATTGTGGATGACATCAGTTGTATGTGAAATATGGTTTGCTATATCATGGATTCTGGATCAGTTCCCGAAATGGTGTCCAATAGAGCGAGAAACATATCTTGATCGGCTTTCACTTAGGTACATTGTCTCCACTCTTCTATTGTGATTTATCTAAATATGTCAAATGTTGATTAGATGTGTAACAATCAAGTACAAGCTTGAGGAATGTGATATCGATTGCTTTAAAATTGTAAAGTCAAATTCTCTCTCACATATGATCGCGCGCACATGTGCATCATTTTTTTGATTATTTGATCTATTTATGCTACATCCTCATGCTAGCTTGACTTTTTCATGGACAATCTATTTTAATTATTATTGTTGTACTTGTTATTTTGTGAATTTGATTTTGTTGCCTTTTATCATCTCCTCCAAATCAGGTATGAAAAAGAAGGGAAGCTGTCTGAGTTAGCTAATGTAGACATCTTCGTAAGTACAGTTGATCCTCTGAAAGAACCTCCGCTGATCACTGCAAATACCGTTCTATCAATCCTCGCAGTGGATTATCCAGTTGATAAAGTTTCGTGTTATGTATCTGATGATGGTGCTGCTATGCTTACTTTTGAAGCTCTTTCTGAGACATCTGAATTTGCTAGGAAATGGGTCCCCTTCTGCAAAAAGTTTAATATTGAGCCACGTGCCCCAGAATGGTACTTCTCTCAGAAGATTGACTATCTAAAAGACAAAGTTCATCCAGAATTCGTGAGGGAACGGCGTGCTATGAAGGTTTCTGACTCTTCTCCGTACTGAAGTTCTTATTTTTATGTTGTCATTTATCCCGCTTTAATAAAAATGTTTTATTTATTAGAAGATAATTTAATAGTCCCTATTAAATCGGTGTATGGATATTTTGAACATCTGCTCCTCATTATCATGTGGTCTTGAACTGTATTAAATTTCCGTAGGTTATTTATTTGTAATTTTCTGCGGATGCAGAGAGAATATGAAGAATTTAAAGTTCGAATCAATTCATTGGTTTCCACGGCACAAAAGGTTCCTGAGGAAGGTTGGACAATGCAGGATGGAACTCCATGGCCTGGGAACAATGTTCGGGACCATCCTGGCATGATCCAGGTAAAAGGGTATCTCTTTCTACCAAGCATTGCTTTATCTTTTTCATCATAGTACTAGTACTTGTAATGTATAAGAAAGAAAAACTCCCACTAGATCTGAAAATGGTTTCTTATAGTTTTTTTTTTTTTTTTGGCAAGGGTTTCTTATAGTAAAAATCTTCACTTTTACCTATTTTTATATGTTTCAAGGACTTGAATTTGCTAGTCATGTGCTGGCATGTCTCTTCTGTGAGTTATTTTATCCAAATCCCCATATCATGGGACGTTTGGACGCAACTAATTTGTAAGATGCCCAATTTTAATGATGCATACCCCAGGGTAGAGTGACATTTCTGCATAACATTGAGTACCGATGGATATTTCAACCATTTTTGAAGGATCTATGGTAGCCTTTTTGTTTATTTATAAGTGAAGCAGTGCATTGGGGATCTATATACCGAGGAGTTACAGTCTACTGGGGAACGAAACATCTATCCATGTTACAGGCGTTTTGCTTATTCATCTAAAGTATACTTGTTAAACATGTATCTCAGACCCATAACACGTCATCTTGTGTCACATTCAGGCTCTTCATATATATTGAAGTATCCATGTAATTTTACTGTTATTTACAGTCGCTCAATATTCCCCGACAGTTTTGTCTAGTATGAAATGAGCTTGGGAGACTGTAATGTCTATATCTATATATATATATATATATATATATTATGGTTATTGGGTTGATGATGGGTGTGTGGGTTGGGGATGGGTAGGATGAGGGTGATGGGACCTCCAAGCATGAGGATGCAAATTTTATTATTGCTTGGTGCATGAGTAAAAGTTATAGCTGACATGTGCAAAAATTATGAAAAGGTTAGGTTTGTCTCTAGTGTTTCCCTCTGAGCACCCTATGTAGGCGAGATATACGCTGGGGAATGCATTTTATGGGGATAGTGTATTATTGCATATCATAAAGTGGCTAAAATGTTGTAAGGTTTTCAGCATATCCCAATTCTCATTTTAGGATTTTAATAAATGTTATTAATCCATCTCATCTGAGCTGGTTTTATGCAAGTATTTTCAGTGTTTCCCAATTTTAAATTTGGTAATCTACAGGTATTCCTTGGCCAAAATGGTGTTCGTGATCTTGATGGAAATGACTTACCTCATCTGGTTTATGTTTCTCGTGAGAAGAGGCCAGGGTTTGATCACCATAAAAAAGCAGGAGCCATGAATTCTCTGGTTAGCTTATATTTCTTTCTTTATTTTAATAATGCCTCTAGACTGTTCTACTGTGGTTTATTTCTTCCCTTTTCTTTTATATTTTTAACCAATAAACAGTTTGTTTGGATTTATTGAGCTCTATTTATTTATTATTCTAGGTGCGGGTTTCAGCAGTTATCTCAAATGCTCCTTATATTCTGAATGTTGATTGTGACCATTATATCAACAATAGCAAGGCACTTAGAGAAGCCATGTGTTTCTTGATGGACCCCACTTCAGGAAAGACAGTTTGCTATGTGCAGTTTCCTCAAAGATTTGACGGGATTGATCGTCATGATAGATACTCAAACCGGAATGTTGTATTCTTTGATGTACGTATAGCTTATTGCTTTGATTTCTTTTAATATTTCCGTCATTATCGGAAAAACTGATTTTGCACTTCCAAACAGATCAACATGAAAGGATTAGATGGTTTACAAGGACCAATATATGTTGGAACGGGGTGTGTCTTCAGAAGGCAAGCTTTTTATGGATTTGATGCTCCTGTCAAGAAGAAGCCTCCTGGCAAGACCTGCAACTGTTGGCCAAAGTGGTGCTGTTTGTGTTGTGGCTCTAGGAAGAACAAGAAAGGAAAGCCAAAGGAGAAGAAGAAGAAAATGAAGCACAAGGAGGCATCTAAGCAGATACATGCACTAGAAACTATTGAAGAGGGTATTGAAGGTAATGAATGATTCACTTTTGAAGGCAACTTGCCTGTGTGCTAGTCACGTGTTAATACAATACCTCAAAAAAATAAAAAAATATTTTTTATTGCAGAAATAAGCATAAAAAATTCATCTCAGAAGCCACAAGTAAAACTTGAGAAGAAATTTGGGCAATCTTCTGTATTCGTAGCCTCCACACTCTTGGAGAATGGTGGTATTCCTCAGGAAGCCAGTTCTGCATTGCTTTTAAAAGAAGCCATTCACGTTATCAGCTGTGGATATGAAGTCAAAACAGAGTGGGGAAAAGAGGTAAGTAAAGACTGAAAAACTCAATTTGTAAACTTTTATATGTTGAAGATGTACTTTTATCATATCCTCTGAACTTTCAAACGCTGAACCAGGTTGGCTGGATATATGGCTCTGTGACAGAGGATATATTGACAGGATTCAAAATGCATTGCCATGGCTGGAGGTCTGTGTATTGTATGCCAAAGCGACCTGCATTTAAGGGGTCAGCTCCCATCAACCTTTCTGATCGTCTTAACCAGGTTCTTCGTTGGGCCCTTGGATCTGTTGAGATTTTCTTGAGCAAACACTGTCCAATTTGGTATGGCTATGGGGGTGGATTGAAATGGTTGGAGCGATTTTCCTATATAAACTCAGTTGTATATCCTTGGACTTCCATTCCTTTGATTGTTTACTGCACCTTGCCAGCCGTCTGCCTTCTCACTGGGAAATTTATCGTCCCCGAGGTACTTCCAAATCTCATATAATATTGTTGCCTCCTTGACACCTAAAGTGTGTTTGATGGGGGGAGGGAGGGGAAAAAAGTTCATCATGGTATTAAATGCTTAACTTAATTGTTTGAATTCTTACAATTTGGATATGGATATCACCATGCATATATCCTTGTTCTGGATCAGTTACGAAGGCAAATGAGATGCATGTAGAAATTAGATGCATGTAGATGTCTCTTTTCATAATAACTGTTTATCAATTTTATATGAAATATTCGTAACTTGCACTTTGTTTACGTGTCCATAAATCCAACTTCTTGCAATAGCTCCTAATTTTGTTGTGTCATCATGCTTGGACTATTGGAAAGTTCTTGTGGTCTGAGTAGATCTCACTGTGTTTGAATTGATTGTCCTGTCCAAAGCTTGTTTCTGTAAGCCTATTAAGGCCAAATCCTCTATCCTTCATGAATGATTCTGGTTAAATTTCTAGTAGGCCTTTGGCTAACACATGGTTCATGAATTCTATGTGCAGATCAGTAACTATGCCAGCCTTGTGTTTCTGGCTCTCTTCATATCCATCGCTGCAACGGGTGTCATTGAAATGCAGTGGGGTGGTGTTGGAATTGACGACTGGTGGAGAAATGAGCAGTTTTGGGTGATCGGAGGCGTATCATCGCACCTCTTTGCTCTCTTCCAGGGTTTGCTCAAAGTTTTAGCTGGTGTCAACACGAACTTTACTGTCACCTCCAAAGCAGGAGATGATGGAGAATACTCTGAGCTTTACCTCTTCAAGTGGACATCATTATTAATCCCTCCAACAACCTTGTTGATTACAAATATAATTGGGGTCGTGGTCGGGATTTCGAATGCCGTTAACATTGGCTATGATTCATGGGGTCCCCTGTTCGGTAGGCTATTTTTCTCCATCTGGGTCATTGTCCACCTCTATCCATTCCTTAAAGGACTGCTTGGGAAACAGGATAGACTGCCAACTATCATTTTGGTCTGGTCGATTCTGTTGTCTTCAATATTAACCCTTTTGTGGGTCAGAATCAACCCATTTGTGTCGAGAGACGGTCCTGTGCTGGAAGTTTGTGGTTTAGATTGTGACTAAGATATTATCCAAAGTACAACTTCAGATAGTTTGTGTCGAAAATCGATGGTTTTGGAGTTGCAGAAGGAATTTTTTCAACCAACCAGACCTATATATCGATGGGCATCATTTTGCATTAATGAGAAATATCATAGAGAATTTTTGTGGAAGGAAAAATATAGCTGGAGGGTGTGTAGATAAAAAAATGGGAGTGGAGACTTTGATATTTGTTTCACAATTGTTTCATTTATTCTCTTGTTAGATATCAGTTTTGGGGCTTTTGGTATTTTTGTATTTCTTCATTTATATAATCAAATTATAAATTATCTTTTTCTCAACATGAGTCATTCTGTAATTTTCCTCAAATGTTTTTTTTAAACATATTTTGCCTCCACTAGCTGGGCTACCTAGTTCACTCAGGAAATGCCACTTGCATGCACTCTTTCAGTTCTCTTTGGTAGGAAAGAAAAAAAATTGGATAGATAGAAAGACACAAAAGAAGGGATGTAGGAGATCTACTAAGGGATGAGATTGTGTATTTTTTTCTTTTTGTTTGGTTATACAGAAGAGAAGAGAATAAGTTCATTATACACTATGTTTTTTTAAAACAGAAGAAAAAGAAATTTTTATTTGTTTTTATCATTATATTCAATAATATTTATAAGGAGTCCATATCTGCTAGGAGACAAAAAAAAATATTATGTTAATAAATTATTTGACTCAACAAAAAAATAATAAGTAACCATTAAAAATGATTTCTTTTGACATGAAAAAAAAAAACTCCCCAAAAAATATATATTTATTGAAGAATTATCTCTTTTGTCAAGATCTCAAAAAAAAAAAAAAAAATTAAATAAAAGACGTATGAAAAATAAGACTTTTTTTTTATCATTTATATTGAATAAATTATCTCTTTTGATAATACAAAAAAATATTTTTTTATTAAATTGATTATTTCTTTTGACAGGACCCATAAAAAATTACAAAAAAAAAAAAATCTCTTTTGACCCAAAAAAAGTTAACTTTGTTGAATAAATATTTCTTCCAATTATACCAAAAAAATAAAAGTCATTATGGAATAAATTATCTCTTTTTGACTGTCAAAAATAAAATTATTAGTATAAAATAAATTATTTTCTCTGAATAGACCTCCGAAAAAACAAAAAAAAGGAAGAAAATAGTAAAAAAAAAAATAAAAAATGGTTAAAGTTGTATAAAGTGTAGTTATGAAATTATAAATTAAGTGATGGTGCATTAATGAATTTAAGGACCTTCTAATTATTTCCTATTGTTTTTTTTAAGACTCCGTTTGGTTGGATGGAATTAGGCAAGAAAAGAAAAGAGATTTTCTATCATTCATTTGGTTAGCATGAAAATTTTATCAAGAAAATTGAAAGTGATTATATATGCCAAAATTACCATTTGAAAGAAAAATCAAATATTTTACCATATAATTATATATATATACACACACACACACACACACATACACACATATCCATACACATACAAAAATGACTTGCATTAATATACCAAATTAAAAGTTCAATATGGTCTTCCAATAAAACGTCCATAGAGTTTTCAGATTCTATTGTATATTCGTTTAAGAGAGAGAGAGAGAGAGGGGGAGGGGTACACACAGAGTATCCAATATGTACAAGAGACAACACGGTATCCAATATATATATATATTGTCTCTTTGGTAGATCACTAATATATATATATATATATTTGGAACGAAGAAATCGTTAAAATAGTGTTCCTAATTGTCAAAAATTTCAAAAGTATAGATGTGATAGTGATCTAAGACTATTAAACTCATTATTTTAAGTATGATTTGGGATTATGAGGGGCTAGAATTGCAACATAGAACAGACAAAAAAAAAAAAAATCTATTTAGAAGGAGCAATTTTACACAAATTATCATTGATATTCTGTATTAAATGTATAATTTGCTAGAGAAATGTTGAGAAAGAACTTTGCAACGATTAAGTTATGGGTAAAATTGGAACGGCAAATAAATAGGGAAAAAAAACTCAAAACTGGAAACTAAATTTTCTATTACGATTCTCCTTCTATCTATCCAAACTTTAAAAAATTTAAAAATTTTATCTTTTCTTTCTTTTCTAACTGTTTCTACCTAACCAAACAAAACATAAAAGAAAAAGGTAATGGGAGTGAGAAAAGTGGAGTGCGAATATGACTTCCCTATTTATAATATTGTAATTTAAAACTTGTATAATTTAAGATAATATTTAATTTAAAATTTTTATAATAGTCCATTTATCTTTCCTCATTTTTTTTATTTTTGGACAGATTAAAATTTGTAATTTAAAACTTGTATAATTTAAGATAATATTTAATTTAAAACTTCTAGTTCATTTGTCTTTCCTCAAAATTTTTTTTTTTTGGACGGATTAAAATTTGTAAGGAATAAATGATGGATTATCCGTCTCTTTTTCCTTACATTATCTCTACCGAAACAAAAAAAAAAAACGAAATTTCATATTCCTTCCTTCCTACTAAACACAACATTACTTGTTTTTCACCCTTCCTACTAACAATAATAATGAAAAGTGGCATATACTCTCTCTTTTTTCCACTCAATTAAAGAAAAGATGGGGAACTCTTCCTAGAATTACACCTATATCCCTTCTTCAATCTACCACTATACTCTTTTATCCTCCTGTGAAAGAGATCATTTAGGCAACAAAATTTACTATATTTGTATACTCTTGTAACCTCCGGTCAAAGAGATCATTTAGGCAACAGTATTTACTATATTTGATTATCAGTTTCAAATACCTCAAGAATTAAATGATATGTTGAAAGTTGTATTTAAGAGTATGATTAGATTAGCTTATGTGTAGGGATTATGGCCCTAAAATAGTTAAATTTGTAAATACTAAAAAGATTGCTAACCAAAAACATTCTTCCCAGAGTTTTGAAAACGTTTACATTTTATGGCCCTAAAATAACTTCTGTGTAGGGATATTTTTGGCCCTAAAATAGTTAAAATTGTAATACTAAAAAGATTGCTAACCAAAAACATCTTTCCCAAACTTTTGAAAACGTTTACGTTAAAAGATACTGATCACTTCTATGAAAAGAAAAAAAATTAAAAATCCATGACATTATCACGAAAATGCATATTTGCCATAAATATGCATTTTTAGTCATTTTATTACCTTATTTTTCTCATATTCCCCCTAATTTCTTTCTTTAGCTATCTATATATATATATATATATATACACATACATACACACATAAGAATATTATATATATAGGAGTTATGTTTTTCAATAATTTATCTCCATATTTTCAACCAATCATTTTTATTTATTTTTATATATTTTTAAGAACCTGTTACAAACAAAATCTTAAATAAACTCGTGTATTTTTCCTACAATAAACTAGCACGGGTTCATTCACACATGACACGCACAAATTCCAAATTTCCAACACTTTCACACTTGCAAAATGATCCCATTATTTTCAATACAAACTTCAAGTCTATATCAAATCATGCAGAGTCAAACAATTAAAAAAATATATAAAAAAATTATATAGTTTTTATTTTTTTATTTTTTTTTATGGTGAACCGGATTTCCTGATTAATCAAGGTGAATGCATGACATTCTAATATTTCTAAATTTATATGGTAATATGTAGAGAATTCTAAAATATACGGAGTAACAGAGTTTCGGAATATAAGAGAATGTTACATTAACACTAGTGAGGAGAATCGATATTCAATGGCAATTTCAAAGAGAGATTCAATTATATCTGCAAGTCAATTCCAGTCTTAAAACAACAAAGCAAACATAAAGTATATTATGTGAAAAAAAAAACAAACATAAAGTATATTATAGTTTATAGGGTTAATTGTAACTTTTAAGTGATCCATATTTGGCCACATTATTCTTCAGCTAACAGATAATAAGGTCGTGTTTAGCCAATTACACCACTATTTATAAGTAACATTTCACTACTATTTATAAGTAACATCACATAGTCTAAAAAGTAATGTCACATATAAACATAACTCAATTCAACATATCATGTTATTATTTGAAATTAAAAGTGGTAATATTTCCTTTTACAAATGATGATGTTACTTTTTAGACTCTGTGATGTTACTTATAAATGGTGGGGAAATGTAAAAATAGTCTAAAAAGTAACATCACCACCATTTATAAGTAACATCACCAAAGTTTAAAAGTAATATCACATAGTTTAAAAAGTAAAATCACCACGTTTTGAGGGTAAAAGATACTTATAAATGGTGGTGATGTTACTTTTTAAACTATGTGATATTACTTTTAGACTTCTGTGACGTTACTTAAAAATGGTAGTGAAATATTACTTATAAATAGTGGTGCAATTGTCAAACACAGTGTTAGTGTCTATTAAGTGGAGTAAAACGTTGCTAAACCAAGGCCACTTACTGCTCACTGTAGGAAACAGAATGGGAATTGTACAACAGGTGATTTGTGCCTGCACTATATAGTCTTACTTTTAAAATAGGGTTAAGAACAAAAAACTCCTTTGTTAATATATGTTATGTGCACAATAAGTCTCTCTTTTTAAAAAAGTGCATTTCAGTCCATAATATTTAAAAAAAGATACAAATAAACCAAATTTTACCATTTTTCTTTCTGTTACCAAATTTTACCATTTACAAAAAGTAAATCTAAAAACCCGATTTTACCATTTTTCTTTCTATTTTGCCCTCTCACGTAGCAAAATTCCCCAAACTTTGTTGTTCCGGTCATGTTACCAACCAAAATTTTCAAAAAGACAATATTGCCCTTTATAACAATTAATGGGTTAGCACATTTTTATTTGGCATTCCTACACTCACCTTCATTTCATTTGGGAACCTAAAATCTCTGTGTTTACAATTCTGCAACTCTCATTCCAACAAAATAAAATACCTAATTTCAATACAAAAAATAAGAATCTAATCCGATAATTTTGTGTAGGATAGATAAAGTAAAAATCCTTAATTCTCTACTCCAATTCAAACTTCATGAACGAAAAATAAAAATCAAATTTAACATCCAAAAAAACTAATGGATGAATCGCGGTTGAAGATCAAAGAAAAAAAAAAAGGTCAGATCTAAATGACGTCATCATTTTCGGCATATGCATCGCTCTTATTCACTTTGTGTTGAATGATTTGTGACTTTTTTTTAATAGATTTTTCACCTCTTTTCCTTGTTCATTTTTCTTCTTCTTCAATTCCTATCATTGCCGGAGTTGGAAGAGGACCATGGAGAGGGAAAAAGATAGAGGAAGGCAGATCGGAGAGGTCGGCGTGAATGGTGGAAGTG